AAATAAAACAAGTTAAAAATGCTCTAAACTATTTAATATCTATTATATGTACCTGTTTAACATCTATTGGTATATTATTTATAATATGATAAGTAATATATTCTCTTAATTTGAATCAGTTAAAAATCATGGTTTAAACTGGCAATCAGCAGTTACTGTCTTTTTGTATCTGAATCAGTTAAAAATAACTGAAAAATTATCCACAAAACACCGAAACTTTTCTAAATATATGTATATTAAAGATTTGCTTGCATACTTCGAAAAGTTTACTAGCAATTAGTTTATTTAAAATTGTGTGAAGATTTAAATTTCTCACTCCAATAAATGTTTATCGTCAAATTTTCTTAAAAATATAGCTTGAAACTTTCCTGAACATTTAATTACACTTTTGACTATACTTTCGTAAAAATTTTGCTGAAAATTTAAGTTAAATTTTCAGGAAAGTTTCGCGCTAAACAATTATTGAAGTGGGATATTTAAATCTTTATACAATTTTCACTAAACATTGCATTTAAATATTTCGAAGCTTGCCTTCAATAAATTGTTAGGAAAGTTTCGGTGCTATGTAGGTAGTTAAACGTGACTAATAATTGAATCAATCCAAAAAAATTTTATTGAAACATCAGTTATTTTTAACTAATTGTCAGAAAAAAATATAACTATTTGAATTAGTGACTGATTTCTTGCTTCTAAATAAGTTATTTCTAACTGATTCAATAATTTAGAGTGTTGTATATAATATATAATGTCCAATGTATAAAATTTACAGTGAAATTTACGTGTGTGACGTGACGTAGGGGGAGGGAGGGGTTCAAGGTTTGTGACGAAGTGTGACATAGGGGGAGGGAGGGGTCAAAAATGGTCAAAAATCGCGTGACGTATTATGTGTACGGCCCCTTTCAAGTAATTTTTTACAGATTAAAAAGCAAACAAAGCAGCGATTTTTCTACAATTATGTAGATATATTAGGGTAATGTCTAGAAGTAATAACCAAAAAGAAAATCTCCGGTAAAAAGATAATTGTAATTTCTACAATTATTTTTTTAATTTTTTTAAAAATTTTATTAAATTCTACAGGCAAAAAAGTCAAAGTTTCCAGGCGACGATTTATTAAAAATTGTTAATATATATTAGGGGAATGTGTAGAAGTAATAAACATAAAGAAAATCCCTGGTCAAAAGATAACTGTAATTTTCACAAATTTTTTTCTAATTTTTTTTCAATTTTTTAATCTTTACGGACAGAAAAATCAAGTTTTCCGGACGGCGATTATTCTGAAATTATTTTTACTTATTAGTGGACTATGTAGAAGCAATTAACGAAAAGAAAATCCCTGGTCAAAAGATAACTGTAATTTTCACAAATTTTTTTCTAATTTTTTTCAATTTTTAATTTTTACGGGCAGAAAAATCAAGTTTTCCGGACGGCGATTTTTCTGAAATTATTTTTACTTATTAGTGGACTATGTAGAAGCAATTAAAAAAAAGAAAATCCCTGGTCAAAAGATAACTGTAATTTTCACAAATTGTTTTCTAAGTTTTTTCAATTTTTTAATTTTTACGGGCAGAAAAATCAAGTTTTCCGGACGGCGATTTTTGTGAAATTCTTTTTACTTATTAGTGGAGTATGTAGAAGCAAATAAACAAAAAAAAATCCCTGGTCAAAGGATAACTGCAATTTTAATAAATTGTTTTCTATTTTTTTTTTTTTTATTTTTTTAATTTTAAGGGTTGAAAATGACAACTTTCCCCTATCGACATGGGGGTGAAAATTTTTTTGTATTCATTGGGCATCGAGTGAATGAATTTTATGCAATAAAATTTTTGGTCTCGTTATTGGTTTATAAATAACACTCTTTGTCCAACGCCTGCAGTGGAATTGAACTATTGTACGCTAGGCACCAGTGGAGGAAAGTGCTACTTTCCTCCACTGGTGGTTGGCCAGTGGAGGAAAGTACTACTTTCCTCGACTGGTGGTTTGGCCAGTGGAGAAATGAGTTTAATGACTGGAAGAAAAATAGAATTATTTGTGTTTTCCTTTTAAATTGTTAATATTAATGTAACTTACGTAACTAACCTAAGGGTATGACTTACATAGTTTACGCAAGGTACGCAATTTACGTAAGTAACGTAACATACCCAAATACGTAAGTTATGTTCTTACGTAAAATACGTAAGTTATCTTCTTGCGTAAATCACGTGAGTTTGTATTCTTACGTAATTTACGTAAATTATGTTCTTACGTAACAATAACCAAATCATAAAGAGTTTTTTCGCTTTGAATTATTAAAAATGTAATACATTAGTGAGTTACACATTTTGAAATATTAATTATAAACATTGTTATAACCACAAAAATCTTATAAATAAAAATTGAGTTAAATAAAATAAGTTTTGCAGTTGTTGGACAAAGTATCGTGTACAATTCGTGGAGAAAAACGATTTTCGCTCGCTTGATTGCTGCACTCGCTACGCTCGAGCAGCAAACTTCAGCTCGCGAGAAATCGCCCTTTTTCTCCACTCGTTGCACAATATACTATTTCCTATTTTTTTTTAATTGTTTTAAATTTAGGGGTTGATTTGACAACTTTCCCCTATCGATAATGGGATGAAACTTAGTTGGTATTTATTGGGTGCCTACTTGAGTAAGAAAATGCAAAAAAATTTATGGTCTGATGAAAAAAAATTTTCGATGCTGAGCATCGATGGCAACTTCAGGCACATAGCAAATCCAATTATTTTCAATTGAAGTAAGTTTAAAAAATTGAATTAAAAGTTCTCAAAAATCTATTTTTTTACGAATTTAGAAAAAAACTAGCAGAACAAGAGCGTGAAATTTTGCGGTCTATAGTTAGTTACAAAACATTACTTTTTCAAATTTAATGAAAATTTAAAACTTTTTAAAAAATACAAATTTTTGAAGTATAATTTTAATTCCTTAAAAAAACGATTATATATTTCAAAATAATTAAATTAATTCTTTAGCAAATATAAAATTTATTTGAATGAAATTTGACAAATCTTTTAATTATTTCAATTTTTAAAATTATTTTCGAGGCTTGAATTATCTTCAAAAAAAATTTTAATTACAATTCTCTAAAAGTGCGATTCCATGGGGGGAGATTTTAGTTTTTTCGGAGTAAATAAACCAATTGCATTAAAACTTAGGAATTTTAATCTACACTCAAAAGAAATATTTCCACCAAATATTACGTCAAAATATTCAGTAGTTTTTGAGATGTCAAAATTTTGGAAAAATTTTGAAATCTTTATATCTCCTTTCCATCTTAACCAAATCACTTAATTCTTTTTGGAAAAAATTCAGCATAAAAAAACGAAAAAATTTTTATATTATATGTTTATTCACAATTTTTATAAACAAAAAAGTTATTAAATAATAATTGAATAACTTTTGAATAGCCTGACGAAATTGAATGAATCAAACACTAAAATAATCTTATCTTTGATTTCTTTAAGATTTAAAATTGAATTATTTCTTAAAATTTCTCTTACAAAATTGTTTTTCAAAATTTTAAAGTGAAATTTTAAAAACCTCATTTTTTCGGAATATTTTTAATAAAATATTTCAAAATTCATTAATTTTTCTTGAATAAATATTTAAATATTTATTGTTTTTTATTTTTTGGCCCACCAGGAATAAAAATTTCAAAAAAATACTTTCAATGTAAATCCTTTTGAAATTTAATTATTTCCATAAATTATTTTTTAATAATTTCCATCATAAATTAGAACTGGGGTCATTCACTTATTACGTGATATTATTTTAGACCCCCTCCCCCCCTGTGTGATACTTTTTCTATAGTTTAGTAGAGAAAATTTGTTAAAGCGTAATACTTTGCTTACCCCCCTCCCACCCCTAAATGTATCTAGTAATATGTGATGGCCCCAACTGCAATTTTTGAAAATGCTAATTAAATTCTTTTGAAGAATTGTTTTGAAATTATTTTAAATAATGGCGTTTCTTTAATAATTTTAGTTGAAAATTTTGAAAAGTTACTGCATTTTATGAAGAAAATCATTCAAGTTTTTAAAATTATCTTGTCTGTTAATAATTATAATGAAAAATTTTATTATTGAATTTTGTTTAAATTGAATTGGAAATAATTGAATTTCTGCAAAGAATTTTAATATTTATAAAAATAATTGAATTCTTCCGAAAAAATGTGAACATTTAGAAAAATAATTGAATTTTTGACAGGAATTTTATTAAAATTTTTAAAAATAATAAACTGTAATAATTAAATAGCAAAATTAGTTAATATAAGTGAATTTTTTTTAATTTTGAAGCTGAAATTATTCAAAAATTGAAATTTATATAAAAAAAGAAAATATTTTGCAATTTGCATAATAATATTAAATGGAATCTCATGTTTCGCGTGTGTAATTTCTAAATTAAATTTTTAATTTCATTAATTTTTGTTGAATAAATATTTGAATACTTATTGTTATTTTTTTGTCCAGCAGGAATTAAAATTTTAAAGTACTTTTGTACGAAAGGGTTTATTTGAAACCCGTTTATGTTCAAATAAATAAAAATACTTTGAATGTAAAACCTTTTGAAATGGTAATTAAAACTAAAACTGCAATTTTTGAAATATTTTCTAAAATTTGAACTGAAATTTAAAATTTTTTTTTTATTTTTGTAGTAATTCTACAAATTTGATATTTTTCCAGTACTTTTTTCTTTCCCTTAACTGTGGCAATCCTCACGAATGTTGAGGTTGAGAGAAAAATGTATTGTGTAATAATTTTGAATATAACTTTTAAAATTAACATTTTTTCTGTGAATATTATTATTTCAGTTGGTTTCTTTTTCTGTTTTGAAATCTATATTTTATGTACAATTACATCACTGGCCATGAATAAACTGATTTCCAACGATGTAAAAATACAGAAAATCGTTTAAGAACGAAGATAATATACTGCGTTTGATAAAAATAAAAATAAAAATAAACTGAAAATGAACTAAAAAAAAGTCACCTTGAAACTTCCATTATCGTCTCGGCCACAGTATCTCTCGTTGAATTCGCCGGCACTTCCGTTTTATTCAACACATCATCTCTCCTAATTTCTCGATTTTGACTCTCCTTCATTAACTTAACACTAGTTTTCTTAATCTCAATGTCAACTTTCTTATTTTGAAAGTGATTCACTAAAGTTTCCGTCACATTCGTTATCCTATTGATTCGCATTTGTTTTTTCGTCGCACCCTTGCCGGACAATTTATTCTTGCACGAGGAAATTAATTCATCCGGACTGCCAGGCGTTAGGCTCACTTCACTATCGGAACCTGGTGCTAAACCACAAGTCGTCATATGATTACCATCGACTTGACGACATATTGAACACACATTCTTTGTCACTTGCACCTTTTGCGGTGATGTGCAAAAATGATTATAAAAATTGTCCTTTTCAGTGAAAACCTTTTCACAACTACAACAAATCAGATAACATGAGCCTTTGAAAATTTGATAAAATTCCTCAACAGACGTGAATGATGTATCGGGAATACTGTGATTTTTCATTAAATGATGTGAAAGTCTCTCGGCATGATCAAACAGTCCAAGGCAAAATAAACATAAATGTCGTTGATGTATTTCCTTGACGTGTAGATAAAGATTCCAATTTTCAAAATAAGTTCCACATGCCGAGCAAAGATAGACTTTTCGTTGTATTTTAAATTTATTTGATGGCAAATCGGAGGTACTTGCGATTCCCTGCAATGGAATCATTGTCGTTGAACAACTGCAGGACTGTTTTTTGGCTAAGAAATTTTGATTACCCGAATGGCACTTGAAGCAAGCAATTGATTTTTGGGAATTTGTATTTTTATTACTTCGTGAATTTAAGGACGACTCTGAATTATTATGTGAATTGTATGATAAATGTTCTAAATTTAGTGATGGTTGTAAACCCAAATATTGAGCGTACTCATTCACTTTGCCCGTTTTTTCTTTCGTTTTCTTTGAATGCTGATGATGATGATAATAATTTGGATGATGGTGATAATTCTTCTGACTAAAGGATTTTTTCACTGTATTTTGATTCTCTTGCGTTTGTGCGAGAATACGTTTCTTGAAGCCTTTAAAAATTTTTGCATTCAAATCGGAATTCTTCGGAATTGAATCTTGAGGACAATTTGTATGGCACTGATCGTCACCGTCTGAATACGAATTTCTATTATTAAAATGCGTTATTGTATCGTCAATTGTTGAATTTTTGTATTCCAAGTCGTCCAAAGCCGGCCAATTGTCCATAACTCGACTCTCGGTGTCTTCATCTTCCATAATATCGGCCACTGCCTCAGCAGCGTCACCTAAAAATACACGAAAAATTGTATAGTTACTTTAATTACTCTTACTTATTCATTTATTTAATAATTTAATAAATTTATAAATAAAGAAAATATTTTTATTCTTCAATAAATTTTTCAACAATTCCTAAAGATTTCAACTTTCAAACCAACGGCGATTTTATTTATATTTCGTTAAAATTCAAATTTTGTTAGAAAACTTTTTTTAATTCAAACTATTGAATTTCATTTTTTTTTTTTTAATTCCAGTCGTAATTTTTAAAAATACATATTTAAATAGAAAAAAATTCTGTTTCCTTTGAGCGTTCAAAACTTTAAGAAAAAGATTCAATTTTCCTTCTTTACATTCTTATTTCAATTTTTAAAAAAATGTATCAACATAATTATTAATTCAGTACTGAATTAAATTTTTAATTCACACAAAAAAAGAGAAAAATTTAAACACTGATTAAATGGAAAATTAGATTAGAATTCGTTAATGTTTCAAGTATTCTTGGTAATTTTGTAACATTACGCAATTGTAGAATTAGAATCGTTGTGTAATTTAGTTTAATTAAGTTCATTGACAATTTTTAAAGGATTTTCTATCTAAACGAACAGTATTTTTAGCATTCAATGAACAGGAATTGTCTAATAATTCGTATTCAGATTTTTATTGTTTCCAATTTGTTTCTTAATTATGAAAAAAGAAATAAAAAAATATAATAATAAAAATAGATAAAAATAAAAATAGATTCAAATGAACGAAATATTTTTTGTTAAAAATATTTTCATAGATTATTGATTACAATTCAAATTAAAAACTCGAATTTTACATTTAGAAACATTATAATTAATTTTCTTAATAGTGACGCAAAATTATAGTAATAAAAATTTAATTTGAAGAAGAAATAAATAAATTTCGTTCATTTGAACGTTCAAAACTTTAACCTCCTAAATTCTGAATATTCAATATTGTTAATTAAATTGAAATTAACTAATTGTATTTATTAATAAATTCTAGATTAATTTAGTAAATCTATATATTTAAATATTTACTTTTTTAAAACAAGACTGTTTCAATTTTAAAATTAATGTACTAAAAATCATTGAATTCTTGCAAAGTTTTTAACAAAAAGACAATTTTCATATAATTCTATTCAAGAATTCAATTATTTTCATAGATAATGAAATTCCTATAAAGTATTTATAAAAAAATTTGAAAATAATTGAATTAATTTCAAGAATTTTATCAACATTTTTTTCAATAATTGAACTCTTTCGAGAAAATGTAATTAAAATTGTATTGGAAATAATTTAATTCTTGGCAAGATTTTTATTAAAATTCTATTGCTTTGAAGAATTTATATATTTCAATTTTCTTGAAAATAATGAAGTTTCTTTTAATAATTTTTACTGAAAATTTTAAAAGCAATTGAATTTTATGAAGATTTTTTTTTAAGTTTTTAAACAAATTGTATTTATTAATTATTAATTGTAATTAATAATTTTCCTATTAAATTATATTAAAATTATGTATTCATAGAAAATTATATTTTTTTAAACAATTTTATTAGAGTTTTTGTAAATAATTACATTTTTTGAAGAATTTCATTAAGTTTCGTAAAAATAATGTAATTTTTTAAAATAATTTTAATTAAAAATTTTGAAAATAATTCAAATTTACATAGAATTTTATTAAAAACTTTTAAGAACAATTGAATTGTTTAGAAAAATTTTATTACAATTTTTAAAAATAATTGTACCTGTTAGAGAAATTTTATTAAAATTATCTTGAATATAATTGATTTTTTTTCTTAGAAATTTTATTATTATTGTATTGAAAATAATTGAATTTAAATAAATATTTTTAAAAACAATTGTATTCTTTTGAGAAATTTTATTAAAATTATATTTATTGAAAATAATAATTGAATTTCTTTGTAGAATTTTATTATTTATAAAAATATTTTAATTCTTGCGAAGAATTTTCTTATTTATAATTATATGAAAATAATTGAATTCTTTCGAAGAATTTTATCTGAATTTTTGAAAATAATTGACTTTTTTGAAGAAATTTTATTTAAAAATTTTGAAAATAATGTTTTTTTAAAAAGAATTTCATCAAAATTTTGGAAAAAATTTTAGATTTAGTAAATTTAGATAAAATATTTACTTTTTTAAAAGAAGACTTAATTGCATGATTTTTACACACAAAATAATTGTATAATGGATAAAATAATTATGAAAGTATGAAATTATTTGTATAGAGTAAAAAACACGATTGTAATGAATTCCTGACTTAACATTTCAAGAGGTTATTTCCATTTTAAGTTACAACATTTGTTCTAAAGAGATTCGAGAAAACTTTCAAGAGAGATAAATCCCTGACAATGAGAAAAATTTTCGTCTACTTTGCTTGAGAGTTTAAATAACAAAGAGATGAATGCATTTAATGTATGTGTGCATATAATCTTCTCTGTGTCATAAAATTTAATTTTATAAATCACATAATCTCGTAACATACATTTGTAATTTAAAACGAAAGGAAAATACAGAGCCAACTATATTTATTACTTATCTGCTCACAAAATTAAAAAAATAAAATAATTTTTTTTTTAAAGTAAAAAAAGAAAATAATATTAAAAATTTTAAGATCGAGATGAATGTAAAATACGTTGTTCGTTACACTTTCAATTAATCGAATATTTAAACTGAATATGAAATTATACGAAATGTATCAAATTTATAATATTTATCAATAAAGGCCTTCAAATTCTAGGAATGCGACAATCTTGAAATAGAAAAAAAAACGATGAGATAAATGTGAAAAAGATTAAAATCTTTCGGCTTTTTCGGAAGATGAAAAAAAATGTGGTGCTTTTCGATTAATAAATAAAAAAAAGTTGACTATAACTGCGCAAAAAATGAAGGCAAATTCCTAATATAATTACATGATTTTATATCACCAGGTCGTAAATTGCAAGAGTGGAAAAGCGTTAAAAAAATGTTAAAAAAACAGCGAAAAGAAAACTTACGAATTGTGCGTAAAGTTAATTTTCACGAAACCAAGATGAATATTGGAAAAGCATTTAAAAAAACAAAAAAAAATTGACGAGGAAAATAGAAAAATCTCATTCAAAGGTCCGGATGACTCCGGGATACGTGTAAAAACGTGGGTACCGTACCTTTCGACGAAATCTGAATTTCGTTATCTTGTAATCAATTTCCACCAGATTTTGAAATAAACTTTACGAAGATGCTGGGTAAAAACTTGCACTCTCGACGAATAACAACTGCAAACTGATCCCCCGACTGCCTCGTCGCGATCCGCGCCGAAAAGGTTAATAAAATGGCGTCATTTGAAGAGTTACGGTCTCGGTCTCTTGTTCACTCTTGTTCCCCGAGAGAGTGATGCCACCCTTTGTCATTTTCATGTTATATAGCCGCGAAATAGGTTAGGCCTGAAGTCGCGACTAAACAAACAATTTATATAATTTCTTTGACAAATTCGTTTTTAGAACAATTAAAATGAAAAATACAGTGTCGAGCAAACATCCGCAAATTCACCAATTTTTATATAGAATATATGTAAAAACTTGAAATGCGAATAATGCATGTAATAGTAGTCTCTCTTCAATTTCCAACACAACTTATTAATGACACCTTATGTCTGATGGTTTCTTTGTAAATCATCATTTTTACTCTCTAGAAAAACATTTGCATTCTTATTTTGTTAATCATTTTAAACTTAATAGAATTTCTTTCGAAATTTAGTAAATTTCTCATGAAAATAAAGGATTTTTATTAAAAAAAATCGTCTGGAAAACTACAAAAATTTGTTGAGCGTTGCATCATCATGGCCTTAAGCTCCGTTCATCTACTTTTAGCTTTTTATGAAAATAAAAATTAAGCGTACATTTTCATTGGTGGAACATAATCAAGAATTAGAAATATGACATTATTATATCGATCCGTTTATTTTTTTCCATAAATTTTTATTACTTTTAAACTCTTTTTCTAAATTAGGTCAATTTCAAATAATTCTTATGTAGCCATACAATTTTATTCTACACATTTGTTGAAAAATTTTCTACATTTTTTTTTATAAAATTTTTAGTTTTCTTTAAATATTTTGTCCAGAATGTTGTGCCTAACCCGTGTAACCAATCAACGTCGAGGTAGAAATAATCAACTGTGTGCGCAGTACCTTAAGCATCCCGCGCTTTTTCATCAGTCATTTGGAAAAAACTGACAATTAAATGCATTAAATGTTTATTTGTTGTTTATTTTCTATTTGAAAAATTTAATAATCTTTTCTTGTATTTAATAATGGATAATTCAGTGGAAAATTCAGAAAATCTCTGGCCTGAGGAATTTGCGGAACTTAAAGTACGTATTCTTTTGTTATAGAGAAAAGCAATAATAACAATTTTTAGGTTAAATTCTATTATTTGCTATATAACAATTAACGTCTAAAATAGAAAAATTATAATTATTTTTACTTGGTCGTAATTGTAAATATTAAGCATATCCTTTAACCATGTAAGAAAAAATGTTTATATAGCTTTTTGATAAAATTTGGTGTTTTGTTTATTATTTACATTATATTGACAATGCTTCATATCAATATTTTCGTAATGGGTATTAAGACACTTAGCGGTAATTAATGACCTTTAAGCTTTAAATCATGAACGACTTATTAAAATGACATCAAATTCATTTAAAAACTGAAAACAATTATAAATTACATGAATTGTTTAGTTATAAAATTTAAATTTACTGAACTGTTAATGATAAATTATTAAAGAATTGATCAAATTATTGATAATTGAAATTTTTTATTTCTAGACTATTGAAGAATCGTTAACATGTGGAATATGCTACGAATATATGCAAACAGCAGTGATGACTCCTTGTTCACACAATTGTAAGATAATTTATTTCTATTTATTACTGGTTTTTGATTCTAAATTTATTGTTTTGTCAAAAGTGTCAAAAGTTTAACACTAAATTCGTAAATAATAAAATAAGTGAAGTAAAAAAATTTAACTCAAACTACTGGAAAAAAATAAAAGTATTAAAAAACTTAAATTTTATGAATTATTTATTTTTGTTAAATTTCAAAAAGTTAATAAATTGAAATCTTTGAAATTTTAATTACTGTAAAACCAATAATATTTAAATATAAAAATTATTAATTTGTTAGTTTCCTTAAAAATTAAAAGGTTTGAATAATATTTTTCTAAAATTCTAAAAAATAATTGAAAATAATTTTAAATTTTTAATTCACGTGGGCAAATAAATAACAATAAGTATTTCAATATTTATTTTACAAGATTGAAATAATTTATTTGGAAATTATGAAAAAATAGGTTTTTTTAACAAAAACTATTAAAATTTTTTGAAGACAGTTTTATTCCCGAAATTTGTTTTTTTAATTTGTACAAGGGAGCGTTCACAAATGATGTCACGCAATTTTTCGAGGTTTTGGACCCCCCACCCTCCCCCTGTCATGCAATTTCATGCAATTTCACATGTGAAGATACATTGTGTCACGTTTAGTAGAGACCCCCCCCCCTCCCCTCAAAAGCGTGACATCATTTGCGAACGCTCCCCAATTGGAAATTTTATCACATTTATAAATTGAAAGAACTTTATTTTTTCACTTTTAAAAATTATTGTATTTTTGGAGAATTGTAACTAAAAATTTGGAAAATAATTGAATTTTACAAAAATTATTACATTTAAATAATTCAATTCTCAAAGACGAATTTTGATAGGAATTGATTGAAAAGAATTTCACTTAAAATTTTTGAGAATAATTAAGGGGAGACACCACCTTAATTTTGACCCCTTTAAAATAAAATTTCGGAAGTCCTGAACCTTTATTTTTTTCCAATTTGATGCTCTGAGTCGAAAAAACATCGTTAAAATTGACGATTAGCTCATTTTCATGGTAAAAACTATAAAAATCATGGCTTTTTGCATTTATTTCGGTATATATAAAGTATACCATAAAAGCTTCGGACTATGATTTTTATGGAATTTACCACGAAAATGAGCTAAATATAAATTTTAACAATGTTTTTTTAATAATAGCATCAAATTACGTAAATATACACAATTTGGAAAAAAATTAAAGATTTACGGCTTTCGAAATTTCGGCAAAATTTAAAGATTTGAATATTAAAAATCGATCTTCTCTTACAGCTTTTAATATTTTTTAACAAAAATTTTTTTCCATGCATATTTTACCATTCTAAACAACTTCTCGCATGGATTTGCAATAATATGCAATAGGTCAGAAGGAAAAAATTCTAACCTCTTCAAAAATTAAAATTAAATATTTTTGACCATCTTATATGTTTTCAGGTTAAAAATGATGCAAGAAAAAAAATATTACCTCGTTTAATAATTTTATTTTAAAGGGGTCAAAATTAAGGTGGGGTCTCCTCTTAAATATTTGAAGCATTAAACGCAGGAATTTTAAGTAATTCCAAATTTTCATTTCCGAAAATCGTAGCTGATTCTTTTTTCGAAAAAAACATATATATATGGGCAATTCCACCTCTTAAAATCGGACAAAAAATATTTTTACTCTATTCTGTATCGAAACAAATTAGATTCGTATTTTTTTATTTTTGTTTAATTGTACAAATTTTCGAGTTATGAATTTTCGAAATTTTTGACTTGTAATTGTAGATCTATATTCAGTAGCTTATAATTCCGAAAATATTGAGTTTAGGAAAAAGTTGTCAAAAAATGAAAGTTTTAGTTTTCTTTCGAGTTTTAAGAAATGTAAACAAAAATTTTTTTTTATAAACAAATTAATTGTTTTTAACTTTGGGCCGGATTTAAAAAAAATTTTTTAAAATTTATTTATACCTTATAATATAGAGGAGAGTTTCCAAAAAGTCCCGAAATGGGCCTGATGTGTTAAATGAGTTTTAACCCGTTGCCTGTTTGCGACCCAACGTTGGGTCGTGAAAAAAGATGGCCCAGACTGTTTGCGACCCAACGTTGGGTCGTGAAAGTTTTAGCAAAAAATAGAAATATGTTATTTAAATTATGAAATAAATTCTTTTATATCATTATTTACATACTATAGGTATCAATGACACTAGAAAAAGTAATAAATAAATAATTGTTTATTATTTTTAAGTAATATAACAATTTAAAATCATATACGTTACCGTTTGATGTAACGCATTTTTGAGAACACAAACCAAAAAAGAAGTCGCTCTTTCAATGAGTAAAGTGATTTGGAAGTGTAAAATTTAAGTTTTAAAAGGTAACTTATTTTTTTCCTACTACTTTGGACATTGAAATTGATTGTCTTAGTTTAATTTAGTGATAATTTTGACTCAAAAAAAATTGTGGTGGCTGCCATAAAAAGTTGTTTGTCACCATGAGTGGACTGCCTGTTTTTTCCATTTTTAATGTCAGTTTAACATTTTTTAGATATAAATTGACAATAAATTAGTTTGAAACTATGATTTATGTTCTTTATTAATTTTTTTGTGATATTGATGTGATATGTGACAAAATTATTAAAAATGGTTTCACTTGTAAACATTGCGACACATATATGGTCTGAAGCTGCATAAGCATAAATTTTGTTTCAATATATCAGAAATATTAAATTAAATACATTAAAGAATTTAGAATAACTTTTACAATTTTTTAGGAGTGGTCCACTCAAGGTTACACTTTTTTCATTCCTTAAAAATTAGCTTTTTTTAAAAGTCAATTGTTTTTTCCAATAAAAAAAATCAAAACTATTATGGTATAAACACTTATCTAGGGATTTAAACTAAAGCTTGGAATAGAAACCTCCGATTAATTTGCTTTCATAAAGAATTTTTTAGAAAAAAAGCGTAGGCGGTCCACTCAAGGTGACATTTCAGATATATGTTTTTTTCGAAAAAAGAATCAGCTACGATTTTCGGAAATGAAAATTTGGAATCTTGGGACGATTCCAGATAAAACTGCGTTAGCACAATTTTGACTCATTTTAGGTAAACCTAAAAGTGCTTGAAGACCACCGTGAATTGTAACTTTTAGAAATAAATAAATTTCAAGAAGTTTTCACTGCAATTATTTGAAATTTTAATTCTCGTGGAAAAAGTAAATAACAATAGGTTTTTAAATATTAGTTTATCAAAAAGTATTGAATATTTCGAGAAAATTCAATTATTCAAAAAGATTCTTATAAAATTCTTCGCAAGAATTCAATTATTTTAAAAATTTTAATAAAGTACTTCGCGAGAATTCAATTATTTATAAAAAATTTAAGGAAGTTCTTCTCAAGAATTCAATTATTTTTATAAATAATAAAATTCTTTGGAAGAATTCGTTTATTTTCAGAAATATAATAAAACTCATCACAAGATTTCGCAATTATTTTTAAATCAATTGTAAATGAACACCTCAAAAAAATGCCATTTTTCTTAAAAATTGTATTAGAATTCTTGAAAGCAATTGAATTATTTAAAAAAAATTTGATATAATTTATTTATTAGAATTTAATAATTATTTTCAATACATTTTTAATTAAATTTCTTGAAAAAATTCAATTATTTTCAAAAATTGTAATAAAATTCTTCGTAACAATTCCATTTTGTAAAAAAAGTTAGATAAAGCTCTTTATAAGCATTAAATTTTAAGAAATATTCAATTATTCAATAATTGAATTATTGTACAACTTTTTAATAACAATTGATTTAAAATTGAATTTCAGTTAAAATTTTAGATAATTAGTTATACAAGTTATTCATTAGTGAAAAATAAATTATTTTATTAATATAGTTTTAATTTAATTTATTTAATTACAATAATTATTTTAGTAGAATGAGAACCAAAGGAAATATAAAATATGTTTTTAATTTAAAGCCAACTTCTTTCACCTTTGATAAAATACATTTTTCTTTTTCAGATTGCACCCTGTGCATAAGGAGATATCTCAATTTCAAAAACGAGTGTCCCGCTTGTTTCAATCAAGTTCATGACACCGATCTCCGAGTGAATAGAAGTTTGGATAATATTAAACAAAGTTTTTTAAAGGTACGCGAGAATTTGAAATTATGCATGAAAGGACTTCCAACGAGACCGTCACTCGAACGTCGAGGGACAACAGAAAATCTATCACCAGTAAAATCTCGACTCAATCAAGTAATGTCCACTCCAAAATCAATTTGCAAAAGTCCCAGTAATTTTAGAAATGAAGATGCCACAACACCTGTTCGGGCAAATCGAATAAATCAAATGGGCGCAGCAAGTCCTCAAACACCATCGAAAATTGATTCAACAGCGCATGGAGAAAATATCGAGAAGCATTTATTCAGTCCTGGAACTAGTGGAATTGCGCCAATTTTTAATAACCCCGTACGTTTCAAAATTGTCGGCAAAAAGGAAAATATTGGACCCACTGTTCCATGTCCAGTTTGTAGTGTTAATGTCTCTGAAACACATATTAATAGACATTTAGACGACTGTTTAAAACGACAGAATAATACTTCCGGACCAGTATCGTGAGTATTTTCTCAAAACAATATTTTTTATACATTTTTTTAATTTAAAAATCAACTACTAAATTTTTTACAATATTAATTTTTTTCTTCTCAATTTCTACTTGAAATTTCAGACTTGAACCAAAATTGAAGCAAATACCAAAACTCGTTCTTAATTTAATGAAAGATTCTGAATTACGAAGAAGATTGAAAGACTTTGGATGTTCAACTGTTGGCGATTCAAAAGCATTAAAAGGACGACTTAATAGATTCTACATTCTTTACAACGCTGAGCGTGACAAAACTGTTCAACGACCAATTGCGGAAATTGTTAAACAATGCGAGGACGAAGAAAAAATGGAAACGAAGGCCGTACTACCAACTACTGGAAATGTAAATAAAATAATTCAAATAATTTTAAAAAAAGATATTTAGCTCTTCATTACAACATTTTTTATTCTCTCTAGGTTCTGACATTCAGCAAGCCAATAGTCGTCAAGCCAGTTAAGGGACAAAACGAAAATTACTGTAAGTACTTTTTTAGAAAAACTTATTTTTTTATTAAATTTTACATGTAATTTAAGGGAGTATTCTGGTCTATAGGCCTCAATTTCAGGCGTTTTTCCGAGTAGAATAAAAAAGAAAGTTTAACATTTTTAGTATTTACTTTTCTTGCAAGTTGTTTATTAATGTTTAAAGAGTACAGAAAAAAATTAGGAAACAAAATAATAAAAAAATTTAAAAGTTATAAACTGATGAAGTGGGGACTGAAAAAAAGAAAGTGCGTACTGGTTGACAGTGTGGAGACTTTTGTAATGTTCTAAAACAAAAAACTCAAAGAAATTCTTGATTATTAAAGGCTTCGCTATGGTCGGTACCTTGGAAAAGAAAAAATAAAATTTTTTAGCAAAATGGCGACGATTTAAAAAAATGCTGTTTTTGATTCTGTTTTTTAACTTTTTTGAATTTTTTAAAAATAGTAAAAAAAAATATTTTTCAAAATCCAAGGTTCCGACCATAAAGAGATATACTAAGAACATTTCTGCAAAATTTGAAGTAAATCGGTTGAGTAGATTTTGAGTTATCGTGTCAACAAGAATTTTTTTCAATTCCCACTTCACCAGTTCATAACTTTTAAAATTGAGGCCTCTAGACCAGAATACCCCCTTAAAGATTTAATAGTTAAGTATTTAATTATTAAAACAGGGTTGCTACAGTTCAGGGAAAAGTCAGGGAATTTTATTAAAAGTACTGAAAAACTATAAAATTTCCAGAATTTATAAAAAAAATGTCTCAATTTTGTTATATTGAAAATATTTTATTTAACTTTAAATTCTATCTATTTCTATCAATAATTGAACTTTACAGAATTGAAATTGAATTTATTTTAAATACACTGAACTCTTGCTGTAATGGACGTTGCTGTAATGGACTAGTTTGTAGATGAAGTGGTGAGCGGGGAAACGGGGTCGCTGAGCTCGGCGACTAGCGCCACCAACAAAGTATTATTTTTTAAATTTTGCGGGTGCACAGTCTCCCCACTAAAATCTTATTTTCAATTTTTTATTATTTTATGAGCTGTTCAGTCATTTAAAAAAAAAAATATTTTCCAAAATTATGTTTCCATTCCTTAATTACTTGCTTTTAGTTAAAAATTTGTGCATTTAAAGAAAATAAAAAAAAATTATTTAGAATCTATGTTTTAAATCTTCATATGGCCCTGAATGTCATTGTGCCCTTGCTTCAAGGGTACTCTTGCTGTAATGGACCACAGCACATTCGAGTCCATTACAGCAAGAGTTCAGTGTAATTTAATTCTTGAAGAAAATTGTTATTTATAAATTATTTAGCAAATAATTTTATTTAATAATTAAAAAAATAATTGAAACTTATAAAAGTAGTGTTTATAATTTTTATAAGTAACTAGCAAATCTTGAATAACTTCAGATACAAAATTTTTAAAAATTCATTTATTAACTTAATCGAAAGAATTCAATTATTTTTAATAAAATTTTAATGGAATTTTTCAAAGGAATACAATTATTTTGAAAAATTTAAATCTAAAGAGTCATTCCATTATATTTCGACTAAAGTCGTTGCCGACTAATTTTAAAAAATTGTAATATTTTGCAGGAATGATTTTAAAGATATTAGGATCACCGAACAAAAAGAATTTTTTAAATATTTTTTATATTTATTGTAAAATAAGCATCTAAAGTATATGAAGTCGTAAAAACTGACACTTTTTCATCTAATAGAAAATATTAAAGAAAACACATAATTTACTATAAAAACGTAAAAAAATTATTAGAATTTATTAAGAATGAATTATTTTATTATTATAAATTGATAGAAACAATTATTAATAAGAAATATTAAATAAAAAATAATTTTAAAGTTTACATGGAAAATAACCTATTTTTGCAAATTTCATTCACTAAATATGAGAAAGAGAAATCATTAAATTGGATAAAACTTTATGAAATATAAAGTACCTGTGATTAACTTTTAGTTTTTCTTATCACTTTCTTCCTGTTTTCTTCACAAATATTAAAAAATAAGCAATTAAAATTGGCACTTTGCTTATTTTCATGATTTTAAAATGTAAATAACTTCTGCCCAGAAAAATGAAAAATTACGAAAATTGGGCAATAATTTTTTAAAGGACGAAGTTAGCTCTTCTTGTTTAATCGTTTTGAACCAACTTCAGTTTTAAAGAAATCACATGTATTAACCTGATAAAAATAGTAAAAAGTTTAAAGTTAATTAATTCGAGAAATAGCTTCGGGACCAAAGAAAATCTTTTTCCAGTAAGTGTATCTAGTGATGAATTAATTATTGCCCAATTTTCGTAATTTTTCATTTTTCTAGGCAAAAGTTATTTACATTTGAAAATCGTGAAAGTAAGCAAAGTGCCAATTTTAATTGCTTATTTTTTAATATTTGTGAAGAAAACAGGAAGAAAGTGATTAGAAAAACTAAAAGTTAATCACAGGTACTTTATATTTCATAAGGTTTTATCCAATTTAATGATTTCTCTTTCTCATATTTAGTGAATGAAATTTGCAAAAATAGGTTATTTTCCATGTAAACTTTAAAATTACTTTTTATTTAATATTTCTTATTAATAATTGTTTCTATCAATTTATAATAATAAAATAATTCATTCTTAATAAATTCTAATAATTTTTTTACGTTTTTATAGTAAATTATGTGTTTTCTTTAATATTTTCTAATAGATGAAAAAGTGTCAGTTTTTACGACTTCATATACTTTAGATGCTTATTTTACAATAAATATAAAAAATATTTAAAAAATTCTTTTTGTTCGGTGATCCTAATATCTTTAAAATCATTCCTGCAAAATATTACAATTTTTTAAAATTAGTCGGCAACGACTTTAGTCGAAATATAATGGAATGACTCTAAAGGATTTTAATTCTTTAGATGAATTCAAAGAATTTGAATATAATTTTAATAAAATTCTTAAAAACAATTTAATTATTTTCACAAATTTTAATAAAATTCAATACGAGAATTAAATTCGAATTAATAAAGATTTTTACTAATGCAGACTTAGCTCTCATCTACTGCAAACCTACTATTTACTACTTTTTCTACTATTTGCTACAATTTGGATACTTTTTTTAGATTTGTGACACTAAAAGCTACTTTTTCTATGTTTGAGAATTAGCACTACTTAATATTCGCTAATAGTTGGAATAAACAAATTATTCTTAAAATTTTAACACCTAAAATTCTTAGAAACAATTCAACAAATTTTTTTTAAATTCTTTCAAAAGGTTCAATTATTTTCAAAAATTTTTTCAAATGATTCAATTATATTTAAAAAATTTTCGAAATTCAATTATTTTCAATATTTCCTATTTTAATAAAAAATTTCCGAAAAGAGTTCAATTATTTAAAAAAAAATAAATTAACTTTTTCGCAAGAATTCAATTATTTTCATAAATAATAAAATTCATTGCAAGAATTCAATTATTTTCAGAAATAATAAAACTCATCACACAGAGTTTCAATTATTTTTAATACAATTTTATTCTTAAAATTTTTATTAAAATTCGTCGAAAAAATTCAATTATTTAAAAATTTGTTGATAAAATTCTTTATGACAATTCAATTTCAAGAAACATTCAATTATTCAATAAATTATTTATTTTTGTATTTCAGTAATTGAATTCTCGTAGAATTTTCTAATAGAAATTGATTTAAAAGTGAATTTTAGTAAAAATTTTAGATAATTGAATATTGAAGCAATTATAGCGTGAATTTTTAAAAATAATTGAATTTTGAAAGGGTTTCAAATTAACCTTTAAAGTGCTATGCCGGTCTGACAGACCGCTATTAAAATTTTCTTTGCTTGTAACTTTTTTTCAAAGTATAATAAGAACTTGAACTTTTTAGTAGCTTCATATTTTATGAAAATCTGTTAGGAGACAACTTTTTCAAAAATTTTTATTCGTTAAATTTTGTAATATAAATAAATATTTGAAGTATAGCGGTCTGTGAGACCGGGGTTAGCTTTAAGTGAAAGTATATTCCAGTATATTCCCATGAGTGACGTCTGCGCAACTTGACGCGCAGCTAGTTCTACTGATAGTTCTCATAGACTGCATTTCGACGGCTCCCGTTGATATGATCTTGTTTCAATTGTCAAAATAATAAAATCGTCTTTGGCGCTCAGTTCAATATGATCTCTATTCAATTGTCAATTTAATATAATCTCGCAAAAGTTTCCGTGTAATAAAATCTTAATTCAGCGTAATTTTAAATTCACTTAAAAAATAAAATATTAATTTGTTTTTAATATTATTTTAGGTTGTATAATGATTAAATAATGATTAATAAAATAAAATATAGAAAAATAAATGAAGAAAATTATTAAAACTATTAAAAATATCAGAAAAATAATAAATTATTAACTATAAAATATTAATTCGTTTGTAATATTATTTCATACTTTTCAATCATTAATTAAATCGAAAAATAAATAATAAAATTATACAAATCTAGATAATAATAAAAATAGTAAACTAACTAATTTTAATTAATAAAATTCATTATTCATTAAAAAGTATGAAATAATATTGCAAAAAATAATAAAATTAATTAAATAAAAAAAAACAAAGTATAATAAAATGGGTATTATCTATATTTTTTTAAACAAATATATTAAGAATTATATTACACTACATTTTTCAACTGAAATTATTTTTTAGGTATAATGTAGGTAATATAAATAATAAAAAATAAATATTGTTATAAATACAATAATTAACCTACAATAATAGTAAAATTAATAAAATAAATCAAAGAAATTTCAAATAATAATTATTAACAATATAAAATATAATTAAAACGTAACGTAACGAAATTTTACTTAATTTTAGTTTATTTAGTATTTTTATAATTAATTAGTTTCGTATAATTTTATTATTTTCTTTATTTTTTCTAATTTTTATTTCTTATATTAATTGTTAAAAATTAATTTATTTATATCGTTTTTTATTTATTTTATAATTTTCTTTATTTATTTTTCTATATTTTATTTTATTAATCACTATTTAATCATTATAAAACAAAAAATAGTATTAAGAACGAATTAATATTTTATTTTTTAAGTGAATTTAAAATTACTCTGAATTAAGATTTTATTACACGGAAACTTTTGCGAGATTATATTAAATTGACAATTGAATAGAGATCATATTGAACTGAGCTCCAAAGACGATTTTATTATTTTGACAATTGAAACAAGATCATATCAACGGGAGCCGTCGATTTATAAAATAAATAAAATAAATAAATGCATAATACAGAAATGACTTTTTTTGTTAGAAAGTAAAAAATATTTATAATAGTTGTCTTTTAAAAATTATAAATGACTAAAAAACTGTCAAAAGGGAATAGCGGTCTGACAGACCGGGGTTAGCACTGAGCGTGATTTTTCAACACTTAGCACTTTAAAGGTTAAAATCTGAAAATTCGAAATTTTCATATTTCAGCTAACAATTTTGTAGAATGAATTTTTTTGAAAAAGTTTAATTGAATTTCTTTTTGAAATTATTTAAAGTTTTTATTTTCTAATATATAATTGAAGAACTTCCGAATAATCAAAATTTCACGTAAAATTGAATTGCAATCAATATGGATTTGAAAATTCTCAAAGAACTTTTTCAAAAATTATTAAAAATATTGTGCTGCTATTTTGTTTGGATTTATAATTTTAGGGTAATATTATATTATTATATTATATTATTAAAAATAGTTGATTTAGAGAAGAATTTTAGTTAAAAATTGTAGAAAATAATAATTGAATTGAAATGATGAAAATATTTTTAAAGAAGTTACAGTAAAAATATTCTTATAATTTAAAATAATGATTTTATCACTCAGTTAACTTTAATTGTGACAGGGACAGTTAAAAGGGACCTACAGCCCGAAAAAAAGATTTCGAGAAAAACGATTTCGAAGTTTACCAAGTTGGTTTTTTTGCACTGTTTTTTGTTGAAGTACCTAACTTTGAAGTGAAATTGTGAGAATTGCGTTGGAAAGAGCGGCTCGTTTTAACTGTCTCTGTCACAATTATTAATTATTATAAAACATGAAGAAATTGATCATTCCGAGACGAAGATTCGTAGTGATCGATATCTTTATATTTTATAATAATATTCTTATAAGTAGTTGAATTTCAAAAAGGTTTGAATTTGAAATTTTTGAAAATCTGAATTCTTATGCAAAAATAATAATGATTAAATATTTGTTTAAAAAAGAAGTACCTATCTAATAATTTTTAGATTGAATCAGAATATTCTTTAGGCTCAGGGAAAGAGTAAAAATTTTGTCTGTAAATCAGACAAAAGTCTGGGAAACACAAAATTAAATTTTTGTGACAACCCTGTAAAATTAATTAGAAGCAAATAATAAAATAATCTTCTATTTTTAATTAATTTTAGGTGAAGCCAACAAAAGCAGTTTTAACAAATTAATCGAGCAGGTTAGAAAACGTAATCCAAGGAAAAAAAAAGTAACAAGTGAAGAAGAAAAAAACGAATTATCATCACTCTATGAAGATCTCGTTGCCGAAACAGTAGCAAATGTATCAAACGATTCAGATTCAGGAACTTCCGGTCATCAGCAAAGATATTCAAATGACGGACAAACAATAACTGAATCTGATTCGAATATAGAAAATGACAAAATTATTAATTTAGTAGATGAGGACGATACAAATTATGAGGAGAAAAATAATTTACAGGCTGATATGCAATTTTCTTCATTACTGGATGACTCATCGAATGATTCAGAAAGTAATACTGTTTTAAATCTTTATGTAAATAAACAAATAGCCGCAAATTTGAATGATGAAATTTCAAATAATGTTAGAAGAAATTTTATTAATTCACCGGAGAAAAGTGACAATTCAGCGAGGAAAATATTTAAAAAGCCAAGAATATCGAAACCTTGTGTTGAAAATAATATTCAAGAGATTGATAGACTTTTAGAGAGTATTGACAATGATGAGGAGTTGAAAGATATTTCCTTAAATATGACCAGTGAGAGTGTCGAGTCAAATACAAGTAAGGGTACGTGATTTTCTCTCTAAAATATAACTCTATATTCTCAAATATTTTTCATTATACAATGTGATATTTTTATTTGTAGCTAGTTTTCAATTTGTACATTTCTTTCTATTTTAATTTGACAAGTTCTTTTTTGGAACAGATAATAGGAAACTTATTTCTCACCTAGACGAGATTTTTACAAAAAGAAATTTTAGATTTACGAATTTATTTATTTTGTTTTTTTTATTTATTTTTAAGACAAAAAAAATTGTCTCTTTATACAATTTTAAAAGAAAATTATGTGAAGCATGAAATAATTTTTTTTAAATACAGAGATCACGATTCACCTTTTTTAAATTTTTGCACATATTCACCTATTCCTATAATAGTTCATTTTCAACTGTTTATATAACAATTATTTTCAATCAAAACTAGTTTTTAAAAATTTTTAATTAATTTATATTCCAATAAATTGAAATTCTAAAATGTTGAAACTTTCATCGATTAAAATCTTAATTGACTCTGGATTTAAATCGACAAAATTTTTAATATTTCGAATTCTGTAATTCACCTTATCAATAATTGAATTGAATTATTAGTGAAATGATTTTTTTTTCTAATTTTGCGAATGAACGGAAAAGAGAGTTTTTTTTACAGTTGCTGAGAACGAAGAGAACTTGAATGATTCCGAAATGAATGAAAAGGAAATGAAAATGAATTTGGATATAAGTACAAAGCAAATTGAATCAGACATTAATAATGAAGAAGAATATGAATCAGAAATTGATAAGAGTTATGATGAAAATTTTTTAAATAAAAAAGCATCCGACAAAGAAAATGAACCGAACAATGAAGATGTTGATAATGTATTTCATAGACCATTAAGAAAACGTGGTCGTCCACGTAAATATTCTCCCAGTGAAGAAAATACGCCAACAAAATTAAATCGTCATTTAGAAAATGCTTATAATGAAACAGCAATTTATCAAGTTGCTCTCGATGGTTCAATAGATGAAGTTGTATCATCGCCAGAAAAAATTTTAAAACGACGAAAAAGAAAAGCCCACAATAGCACTGAATCAGAATCAGAACCAGAAACACCAACAAGAATTTTGCGTAGACGACATATTCAAACACCGACGAAAAATTAATTTTTAAAAATCTTTTTCTATTTATCCTAACTTATTGAAAAAAAAAAAAATTTCTACGAAACAAGGGGTAAATATTCTTTAAAGAGAAAGAAAACTTGACGAACTATTTTTCGTATATTTTTTTTTGACAAGTAATTATTTGTTATCATCAATGAAAAAAAATGTTAAAAATAATTAGCGATGTGAGAATTAATTACTAATGTATTTTATCAAATTTAAAATTTAATTTTGCACCAATTTTGAAGAAGAGTTACAAAAGAAAATTGTTTATTTCTGAGAAATACTAACTTTTTCTTCAAGAATTTCGAAAAAAAAATTTTTTTTGTATTTAGTGCAATCACTTTTTTTTGTCTAATCTATAAGATTTTGTCAATATTTTTTGTGTGTATATAATTATATAAAATCAGATCAATTAGTTTTTGTATATTTGTTATCGAATAATTTTTGTATCTGACATTAAAAAAAGTAATAAATCTAATTTTTCAAAATATTAATGTTTCATTTAATTTTATTTTCTCTTTGTTTTATTAAAAATTTTTTAATAGCTGCAAAGCATTTTTTAAAATTTATTATCCAACTAGCAATTGAAACGCGCGTTGTACATTTTTGTTATAATTTTGGTGCTCATTTCATAAACAATTTGCTTCCCCATAAAGATAATAATAATAATAGAAATATAATTATGAATAACTTTTTATAAATATGGTAAAAGTGATTAAATTTTGGATAAATCAATTAATAGATAAAGAAAAGTTTTCAAACCAAAAAGTTGAGAAAATATAATTTTCCACAATTTTTGGTTTTTAAAAAATCAATAATTTTAAAATTTATGATCGAATTAGGTTTAAAAATAGGTCCATCGAAGCGTCTTTTAATGCTCTACAAGTCACTAACGATATTTCTAAAGTTACTTTTACATTTTTCACCAAAATTTTCAAACAAGTCTTATTTTCGAAAATTTTATATTTTTAAAAGTTTAATATCTCCGCTTAATATGGACGAAAAATGTTCAATTATGGCTCTCAAGATGCGTCTCAAAAAACTCTACAAAATAATGGAAAAACTTTTATAGGTGTCCTAACATTTTTTTAAAGTTATGGGCAAAAAACGTCTTTTTGTAAAATTAAAAATCTAAAAAAAATATAGTTAAACTTTATTAATCTATCCCAAAGTACTCTCATTTTATGTCCGCACATGAGACCTACAATTTAAAAAAATCCATCTCTAAAGCTTTTCATGATTTCGAGATATTTATGAAAATGTGATGTTTACACACACACACACATACGGAATGACATTTTTTAAAAATGTCATTTTTGAACTTTGAGGTCAAATAACATAAAGATATGTCAAAAAATCGAACTCGAAAAATTTTGGTATTACAATACTTCCTTTATGAGGAAGCAAAAAAGCAAGAATTAAATTGTTTTCAATTTACATTTTCTTAAAAAAATTCAATTAGGTATTGAAAAAATTTTTTTAAATGAATGCAATTGTTTTCAAATTTTTTTATAAATAAATACTTTGCCAGAATTAAATGATTTTCAGTACATTAATTTTTAAATTGAAAACATTTAAAAAGTAAAATTATTTTAAAAGTTTGGAAACAAAAAATCAAACATATTACCTGAATATATTATTAATAAATAGATTTTTAAAATATTGAAAATAATTTTCTCTTTATTTTATTACATTTAAAAAATTAATTTGCAAAACATTTTTAAATTTATTTTCCAAATATATACAAGTTTAAAAACTATTAAAAAACATTGAATTTGAGACTAAACGTCATTTACAAATAACAGTTTTTTTAATTTCAGTTTCTATATACGACTGAAATTAATAATAAATCGAGCATTACATGGAATTTAATTTGATTCTATGTACAATTTTTTCACCTAATATAAAAATTGTAAATTAACAAAATAATAATAATATTAATTATAATAACATAATATAGATAACTACAAGTAATAGTAAAAATATAGTCTATGTAATAAAATAAAAATAAAACATCGACTTGTAGTATAAATATAAAATATCACTAATGAATTAGATTAAAAATAATATAAACATCATTTTTTTTGGCAACATGTAAAATAAATCGAAAAATCATGTTTGCCTGTTTCTTTTAAAAGAGAAAAAAAAATTGTAAATGGTAAATCGAATGATCAAAATTTTCTAAATTTTTTCATTAAATTGAGATGTTTTCTAAAAATTATATTCCTTGAGATCGCCCCATGCTGGACCAACTTTCAATTTTACTGGTAGTGGCACTTCGAGAGAATACGCCTTTTTCATTGATTCTTTTACTAAAGCAGCAACATGATGTAAATCCTTTGCATTTACCTATAAAAATTATCATAATAATTTAAATGTAACGTTGAAATGAACTAAAATTTAACTAATTATTGTAGAAATACAATTTTCATTACTGTAAAATACGGATAATAATAATCATTTTATTAAAAAAAAACACTAATTAAAAACGAGTCCCTTTACCTCAAATAATAATTCATCATGTAACTGTAAAACGAGATAGGCTCCTTTAAAATCGCAGTTTGATCCTGAATTTCGCAATTTTCTTCTCGGACGCGGAGCAGGAAAAATAACAGGACTGCTTGGAAATTCTTCCTGTAATTTTTTATCAATGAGAACCATTGCTTTTTTAGCAATATCTGCCGCTGATCCTTGAATCTTCGTGTTTACTGCCTGTCGTTCAGCTTGTGCTATCAAAAATAATTAAATATTATTAATTATTTAATTAAATTCATTATTCATTATTTTTACTTCTAAAGAAATTACATTAATTATCAAATTCAATTCTTTTTTCTTTGTTACAATAATTATTAACAATTTTTATCGTCAGAAATATAGAAAATATAGAAATAAAAAATTCCTAAAAGATTATAACCATTTTTTGGAAACAATAATATACTTTTCAACAATTTTTATAATTTTAAAAAAATATTTAGATTAAAAGCTAATTGAAAGAAATTGGAATGAACAGAAAAAAATCACTTTAAAAACTAAGAAAGAAAGTTTTTGAAAGATTTAAAATTTGTGTAATAATTTTAAAAAAAGTTTACATTTTTCAGATCTATTCTCGCTCCATATGCCTGGAATTATTCGACATCGTTTTGTTATTGTTGTTACATAACCATCGATACGAGCTCGTTCAACGACACTCGATAGCCAAGAGCGAATTCCTTTATATGTTCTCATAAAAGTTTCCAAAAATTCTTTAGCTTCATCTTCAGTAACCGATAAACTTTCAGCTAGTGATTTTGTTCCCATTCCATAAATCATTCCATAGCAAAGCTGCTTTGTTCTCTGTCGAATTTTATCGTCAACCTAAAATAAAGAAAAAGAAAAAAGAAATTACAAAATATCAAAAAGAAATATCAAAAGCACAGACCTCAGATGGACTTTAAGGAATAAAAAAAATGTTTTATTGGATTCAAAGTCCAAAAAATTATAATTAATAAATTTATTTTAATATATTCGTTATTAATATATAAACTAAGTATTTGAACTAAATAAGTAAATATTTGATATTAATGGTAATATAATTTTGTTGAAATTAATTTTTCTAACCATATTTTCATCGATGTTGTTCCATTTTGCAGAAATACTTTTGAAAATATCAGTTCCCTCCTGTTTCATAATTGAATGAAGAACTGAATCGTTGGAAAAATGTGCAAGAACACGAAGTTCAAGTTGACAATAATCGGCGGAAAGCATAATATTTCCAGCTGTTGGAATAAAAGCCATTCGAATGCTTATCACAAATGTATTATCCTCGGAATTAAAATCTTTAGGGATATTTTGAAGATTTGGTTCTTGCATTGAAATTCTTCCTGTTACAGTGTGATTTATGTGGGTGCCATGAATACGCGAATTTTCTGCCTCATTCAACAACGGAATCACCACCTAAAATTAATAACAAAAACATAATAAATAATAATCGGGATATTCTGTCCTCACGTGAAGTTAGAATTTTTTATTCCAAATTGTTTTACAGCTCAAATTTTCATGTCGAAAAATTGACAATTAATTTATAAATAGAGTGATTTGTGTTTTAGTGCAATTAATTCCCCAAGAATTTTTACAATAACAGAATTCTCACGAGACAGTAAAAAAAGGAAATTTTATTCACAAAAATATCAAATTATTCAAAATCTTAAATAGTCTATGAATTTTCTTTCTCAAATTAAAAAAACCACAAGTCAGGCTTCGCACTAGATAATTATTAATTTTAAAAAAGTTGCAAAAATAGTTTTAAGACTGAAAAAAGTAATTAAAAGTAGCTATCGAATAATTAAATTTGAATATTACTTTATTATTTTTAGAAATTCTAATAAAATTCCTGGCAATAATTCAATTATTTTCCTAAATAATCACATTTCTCGGAAGAAATTCTAAAAGAAATTTAGTTTTTGAAAAATTGTAATTATAATTTCTTGAAAGATAACTGAATTCCCGAAAATGATTTTAAAAACTGAAACAATTAAAAGTTTTGTTAAATTTAATTGAAATAAATTTTATATTTGAAGGTATTTAATTTTATTACTTTTAAAAATTGTTTTAAAAAAGAATCGTATTTGTGAAGAATTATATTTCAAAAAATTATAATTTTTAAAAAATATTAATTTTCAGTTTTTATAACTAATTTCTACTTTTGGAAAAATAATTTCTTTTTCGATATCTTTCTGTCTTTTGATAAAATGAAATGAACAAAAAAAATTGTTTCTTTTTTCTCTAAAAAGATTTTTGTGTAGAATTTTCAGGAAAAGAAGTTATTATATATATTTATATTTACCAATGATTGAAGAGTGCTTAATTTCCTCCAGGATATGATCAATTTGGCAACTGGATGATTGGACTGTTCCAAAACAGCTTTACTGGTCGAAGTACGTTTTCCTTTCTGTATTCCTAAAATCTAAAACAATTTCGTCATAAATCTTATTTCAATACAATAAACTAAAAATTATATTTTGAGAGAGAGAGAGAAAATGAAGAAAAAAACTTCACGAACTTGGGCGACGCTTGATGAAGACATGAAATTAAATTTTTTCCCTGCTATGTAAAATGCTCTTTTTTCTAAAAGTGACATTTCTCGTTTAATAACGTCGGACAATTCATTCAAAGCTGGCAAATTAATACCCAAACCTCTAAGTTCCATTCGGCCCAAAACAGTCAAAACTTCCATTTCCACATCTGAAAATTTTTATAGAAACATTAAGAATTCAATTATTCTCATAAATAATAAAATTCTTCGCAAGAATTCAATTATTTTCATAAAAAATTAAATATAATTTTTCACAGAAATTTAATTATTTTCAATACCTACAATTTTAATCAAATTGCTCTGAAGAATTTAATTAATTTAGGGTCAGTTGGGATAAATCCGGACAAAATACCTATTTTTCACAAATGACGTAAGTTTCTTATTATAAAAGACAATACTTCAGGTTTTATATTGCATTAATTTCTTCCTTGTGTTCCCTAGATAAATTTTATGGAGCATAAAAAAAATTTAGATAAGTTTTAATCGCATAAAACTAACTGTCCGGATTTACCCCACGATTTATAGAAAATTTCCTAAAATTTGGGGTAAATCCGGAGAGCTTAGTTTCTAAGAAAAGTTTAAAAAAAAATTATTTTAAGTATACTACTTTATTAAGGGATGAAACAACTTGAGAAAAATTCATAGTATAGATGTATAAAAGTTGAATCAGTTAAGTGTATAGTATCATAAAAGTTAAAAAATCAACCATTCGAAAAGTAGTAATGAAAAACTTAAATAACTTTAACAAATTTTAATAGATTTTAATTAAACTTGATAAAAAAATGTTTTTGGGGTCGCTGAATAAGAATAAGAAGTCAGATTTTGAAAATTCAAAATGGCGGATCCAATATGGCGGACAATTTTTAAATTTCGATCGGATTTCCTTGAAAATTGTTACGCGGGGGTTTTTGGGGTCGCTGATTAAGAATTTGAAGTCACTCACTCTCTCCGTCTTACTCTATCTCTCACTCTCTCTATCTCTCTTTCACTTTCTCTTACGTTCTCTACTTTTTAAAATGTAATAGAAACTCTCTCCGGATTTACCCCAAATTTTCGAATTCTTTGGGTAAATTCGGACAACTTGTCATTATTAACTGAATTGACAAAAATCAAAAATCCAAGTCAATTTCTCTTCCGGGAGTCATAAGGAATAATAAGAATTTTTTGTATGATTTTTAAGTTTGCTACCCAGTAAAAAAAAACTAATTCAAATGAATTGAAACGAATTAACATTTTTGGTAGGCTCCAATTCGTATTTGTCACAAAGCGGGATTCACTCAAGCTCTTTGTATATTCAATTGAATTTAATTCAATATGTACCAATTTGTCCAAATGAATTCGCATTCGAAAGAAATGGCCAAGGAATGCATTGAATTCGTGCTAACGAATTGAAAAAAATTAAAGGCTCAAAACTTGTCCAGTGAATTGGTACGGATAGAAGGTTCGGAAGTTCAATACAGTTTCACGAATTCAGGAAAATTGCATCATGGCTCCAATTCGTATTTGTCACAAAGCGGGATTCACGAAAGCTCTTTGTGAATTCTTTTTAATTCATTTCAATTAGTTTTCGTTTACTGGGTACTTTTTAAATGTGAGATGAAATACTGAACCAGTCTGAAAATTGATTTTAACTTTTTTTGCATTAAGCGACAACTTTAATTATCCTGTTGCCAATTCTCAAGATAAAAACTTGGCAATACTCAGAATCTCTTGTAGGTGATCTGAGCTTGAAATATTGACGTCGAACTTAATTTTTAACCCCTTCACAGTGTTTGACGTCTATAGAGGCAAAAATAATTCGTGCCCCCAGTGTGTATGACCGCTATAGCGGCATCGAACAAAAAGATATATAAAAGTTAACGAATCTTGCTAAAAATGCCTACTCGGGGGTTTTCGGGGTCGCTGAATCCAAATCCATTATTGAAAATTTTAAATTCAAAATGGCGACCAAATTTTTTTTAAGTTTACGAATTTGGCTGAAAATGCTCATTCGGGGGTTTTTGAGGTCTCTAAATCCAAATATTTGGTCAAAAATTTAAAATTCAAAATGGCGGCTCCAAAATGGCGACCAAAAAAAATTTAACAGTTTACGGATTTGACTAAAAATGTTTACTTGAGGGTTTTTGAGGTCGCTGAATTCGAATATTTGGTTAAAATATTTCAATTCAAAATGTCGGCTTCAAAATGGCGACCAAAAATTATTTAAGTTTACGAATTTGGCTGAAAATGCTCATTCGGGGGTTTTTGAGGTCTCCAAATCCAAATATTTAATCAAAAATTGAAAATGGCGGCTCTAAAATGGCAACCAAAAGAAATTTAAAGTTCTCAAATTAGTTCTTAAAACTTAAAGCAGAGGAATTAATATGTCCGATGTTTTAAAACATTGTGAAATACTCAAAATCGATCTATATTAAAAAATTTAATAATAGTAATTAAATTAAATAGTTCGTGACTCCGGATTCGACTAAGAGCGGTGTTTTAAATAGTTTGTGTAAATATATATATAAATATAAAAATATAATATATGTAAAATATATTATACGCATATATAAAAATATAAAAATATAAACCCCAAAAGACTCAAATAACTATTTATAACCACATTCGTAAACTTTTAAATTTTTAATTGAAGGAAGTGAATTTATCATTCGGTGATTAAATATTAAATTTGAAGAAGTTAACAATTTTCCCGAATCAATCTACACAAATAAATTAAATATCTTAAATAAATCTCGATAAGCTCATGGGCTTCAATGTATCGACAGCACAGCTGCCCTAATACAAAAACCTGCTTAATTTGAAAAATATTTTCGAAATTAATTAATAATTTCAAAATTATTAATTTCCCACCATGCTACCGTTTTTTCTGAGTTCTTTGAAAAAAAAAAAAAAAAAAAAAAATTGAAAAAAATTGGAAAAAAAAAAAATTAAAAAAAAAAATTAAAAATAAAAAAAAATAAATAAAAAAATAAAAATTAAAAAAAAAAAAAAAAAAAAAAAAATTAAAAAAAATTTAAAAAAAAATTAAAATTGGAAAATTGTTAACTTCTTTTAAATTTTTAGTTGACATCTTGAAGTCGCCATTTCGAATTATAAAATGTTAACCAAATATTCTAATTCAGTGTCTCCGAAAAACCTCAAATGCGCATTTTTAGCCAAATCCGAAAACTTTAAAATTTTTTCGGTCGCAATTTTGAAGCCGCCATTTTGAATTTAAAAATTTTAACCAGATATTTGAAATCAGCGACCCCAAAAACCCCCCAAGTGAGCATTTTTAGTCAAATCAGGAAACTTTTAAATTTTTAAAGCCGCCATTTTGAATTTAAAAATTTTAACCAAATATTCGAATTCAGTGTTACGTATGATTTCGTAACTATTTTTAATTTTTTCATTAATTAAAAATTTGTTATATTGTATAATTTCATTAAAAATTTGGGACTTTTGTAAATAGAATTAAGTACTCAATACACATATTATCAGGACATAAGAGGATTTTTACATAATTAACTCATCAATTAATTTGTCTTAAAACTATTTTTCATAATTAAATTATATCCAAACTTAAAAAATAACGATAATCATTCTTCAATTGTTTTCATTCCCAATAACATTCAATATTATTTTTAAAATTATAATTCTAAAATTGGTTGAAATAATATGGACATCACTCTTATTTCAAAAGGAATTTGTCTACTTTGTTATAAGTTACTGTCCACAGAAAAGACTCTTAATTGTATTGGTAAAATACCAAGAAAAAGTACACACTTAAACATTGGCAATAGAGGATACAGAGCATCGAACTATCCCAGTAAACGAAAACTAATTGAAATGAATTAAAAAGAATTCACAAAGAGCTTTCGTGAATCCCGCTTTGTGACAAATACGAATTGGAGCCATGATGCAATTTTCCTGAATTCGTGAAACTGTATTGAACTTCCGAACCTTCTATCCGTACCAATTCACTGGACAAGTTTTGAGCCTTTAATTTTTTTCAATTCGTTAGCACGAATTCAATGCATTCCTTGGCCATTTCTTTCGAATGCGAATTCGTTTGGACAAATTGGTACATATTGAATTAAATTCAATTGAATATACAAAGAGCTTGAGTGAATCCCGCTTTGTGACAAATACGAATTGGAGCCTACCAAAAATGTTAATTCGTTTCAATTCATTTGAATTAGTTTTTTTTTTACTGGGTGGTATATAAAAAAGCCTCATAGGAAATATTAGAAAACACTTAAAAACCTTCTAGGAACACAATGTAAGATGAACTAGGTTCTACTATTTTTCTAATAGGTTTTTGTCCCAATGAGGAATGAACAAAGTTCTAATGTGATTTTAATAGATTGAGAAAATAATAATTCAGAACAGGCGCGGATCCACGGTGGGGCGAAAGGGGCGATCGCCCCCCCCCCCAAACACACTTACTCACAGTGTAATGTTAGGTATTAATATGTCTATGCCTTCATTACTATAAGGTTTTAATTTACGAATCGCCCCCCTCCCAAAATTTGCTTCTGGATCCGCGCCTGCACGGAAAAAATAAGTCGCGGAAATTTTCCTCGACTTTGTTGAAGACTCTCGGATTTAGTGGAAAGTGTTATAAAAATCATATTCACAGTTTTTGAAGAAATAGACTACATTTGAAGAAACTTTCCGCGACTGTCGAAGAAAATGAAGACTCCACGCGCATGTAACCGATTCCGCCACACGGAAAATTACAAACCTGAATTTACTCTACAGCGTTCTAATTTTTAATTGACAGTCGCGGAAATTATTTAGAATTTTTTAATGTATATATTAATATCGACACATTGAATAATAAAAATAATAATAATCTTGACAATCAATTGTCATAAATTGTTAAAAAAAAATGTTAAAAAAACAGTGTTTATTGGTTTTAACGCGCGCAACTTTTGTGCGCACCATTTTCCGCGACTCGTCGACGAAACCTTCTATGAAGTGTTAGAATAATTCCGAGACTGTTTTCCGCTACTAGGTTTCTAGAAAGTCCTCGACTTTTTTTGGAGAATTTCTGCTAAAATCGTAGAACATTTCTAAAAGTCTATAAAAGATTCGTTCATATCCGAGAGTCTTCGATTAGTCGCTGAAAATTTCTGCGACTATTTTTTTCCGTGTGATTCAGAAGGTTCCTCATGTTTTCTACAAGGTTCCTATGAGTGTAAAATAATATAAAAATATTCTACTCCGACGAATGCTGGAATTAATTTAAAGAAACTCGATCAAACGAAAGCTGAAAAAGAAAATAATCACCCCTTCAGGGAACTCATTGGCACCCTGATGTACCTGGTCGTGGGATCGAGACCCGACATCGCCTATGCAGTATGCAGTGAACTACTTGAGCCAGTTTAACAACGCGAATGGAAAAAGAACACTGGATTGCAGCAAAGAGAATTTTGCGTTACCTCCGAGGAACGTCAAGACTCGCTCTGAGATGTCAAAAGTGTTCAAAACATCTGGAAGGCTTCGTTGACTCCGACTGGGGCGGATGCCCAGAAGATCGAAGATCCTACACAGGATACGTTTTTGTTTTGGCAGGGGGGGCAGTGACCTGGGAGTCCAAAAAACAAGGTACCGTGGCCTTAACAACCACGCTGAAAGAAATCGGACTATGAAATCAAAAAATGGTCCAAATGTATAACGACAATCAAAGTGCGCAGAAACTTGCCAGAAATCCGGTGTTCCACTCAAGAAGTAAGCACATCGAAATTCGGTACCACTTCATCAAGGAGGCCCTGGAAAAAGGCAAGGTTTCCATCGACTACATACCGACGAATGATTTGATGGCTGATGTCTTTACTAAAGGACTAAGTGGAACAAAGCATCTCAAGTGTATATCTCAGTTCGGTATGAGATCACGTGACATCAAAAAAGTGTTTAGTTCAGTGCTTTTTTATTTTTTATCGTTTAAATGGGGGGAAATTATTTCAAAATAATAATACAAAGACAAAACACGGACTTGTTTGAGGAAAAATGTGTCAAGTATGTATCATTTTATACTAACTACGTCCCCGGTAAAAAGGCTTGCATTAAAAAGTATTGAAAAAATTGAATTCCTTTTAATTCCTTTTTTGTCCTGAGTTTCGAATTCCCAATAAAAGTATACAAATAAAAGATTTTTAATTCCCTTTAATATCGTCACATAAACGTTGACCAAGGGGACCAAGGTAATATTTATAACCTCAGTGGGCGAGATCCTGTCTAGTTTAGAGAAATTCTCGGTGCTATGTGGGATTTTATTTGCACTTTGGTAATTTTCACCCGATTATAATATGCACGTGGACAGTCGCAGTTGACGCCATTTATCACCAGTTACAAAGTCAAGCACATTACAACTGTCAATGAACAGAGCCATTTTCTTTTCTTTTTTCATTCTTTTCTCAAGTAACTTGGATTTTGATTGGTCAATTTTTGTTTTGTCACCAGCAAGCATTTGATTTACAAGGAATTAAAAGGCATTAGATAGATCACAAATTTATTCCACTTTAAGTGATTAAAAAGTATTCATTCTAATATTGTAAACTTTGGGCATTGAAAAGGATTCATTTTATAGTAGAATTTGACTTAATAGAAGTATTAAATTTAGCGGACAAAAAAGGAATTCAGAAGTATTAAAAATTTTCGTCTTTTTATTGATGATGAAATAATTTTTAATACCTTTTTATTCAAGCCTTCTTACCGGGTCCCTACGCATGCGCTAATGCACTTTCTTTACACACACACTTTTATCATCACAGTTCCTTTGTACTCTCTCCAGAGTTAATCTCGAGTCATTCGTTACCAATAAAAAGGTCTTATTTTAATCTGGTTATATTCCGTACTAAAACCATAGCCTCTCGGTCTAATAAAAATTTCAGCTCTCCATGTTGAATAGTTTAGAAGTTAAGATAGGGGGAGGGGTGGTGTTCACTTTTTATGCATTTTTGGCCAAAAATTGTGTTATTTCCTTGACAACGCTATGACCATGACATTCGCTAAAACACACCAGGTCATGGCCAAATATACAGGCGCAACGCAAGTATATGGGCCAACGTTAATTATATTCTATTCTACATTCGCTATATTTTTCCTGTAATCTACGTGTGAAAATACATATCTGTACCGAATTTGAGCTCTCTAGGTCAAAAAGTTTAGCCGTTTGGGGGGGGGACACGAATTTGGCTACGGGCGCAAGAGTCTCACCAATATAGGGTTCTGTCGGTACACCTGCGGTGTACGGAACCCTAAAACCTCAATTACTTTCGTAAATAATAAAATTTTTTCCAGGAATTCAATTGTTTTCAAAAAATAAAGATAATAAAATACCTTTAAACGTGGTTAGCAATGTGGTGCTCTTTTCATGTAATTGCTTTAAAATTACGTCCGTAATGTACCAAATTAGTACAGCCTCCTTGGTTGATTCATTTTCAGTAAACTCATAATTTTCTTGTAGTACATTACGATTTTCGTAATATTCATGAGCTATGGGATAATATTTTGCCACCTGAAAGGACAATTTATATTAAATATTGTTTAAAATTAAATAAATATTAATTGCGAAACTACATTTTATCTTTAAAAAAATGGGTTTACAAAATTTCAATATTGTAAAACTACATTATAAGTCAATAAAAATTTATATACATATCACTTACCAAATAATTCATATTTTTGTTTTTTCCCTCAGAATTTAGTGTCCAATCAGCAACAGATGGATCAATAAATTTACAAGAAGAAATTATTCCACAACAAAGATAAAATAATTTGTAAAGTTTTCTCGATAAAAGACATCGAACATTCATCAAAGAGTTCGTCAAAATTTCGTTTAAAAAATTTACACGTTCCTTAACTGTTACTTTTATCTCTGAAAAATATTATATTTCTTTTTATTAAAAAGTCACATATTTTAAAATCATACAAATCTAAAAAATATATTTAAATAAGAAACAAATAAGTTGTAAATAAAAACAATAATAATAATGTAATGGGAAATGAAATTAATTACAACAAAAAATTAATGACAAAAATAAATATTTCAATTCTTATTGTTATTTTTTTGTCCACCAGGAATTAAAATTTCAAAATACTTTTATTGTAAATCTTTTGAAATTTAATTAAGATTAGAACTGCAATTCTTCCGAATCTTGAAATATTTTCTAAAATTTGAACTAAAAGATACATTTTCTTCTTTTTGAAAATTAGCACTAGCTTAAATCCTCTAATAGTTGAAATAAAAAATTATTCTTGAGAATTTTAATAAAATTTGTTTATAAGAATTCATATATTTTTAAAACAATTGTAATTCAATTCCTTGAAAATTTTTTAATAAAATCCTTGCAAGAATTCAATTATTTCCCCAAATAATGAAATTGTCCGCTGAAATTCAATTATTTAAAAAAGAAATTTTAATAAAATTCTTCGCAGGATTTCCTTTTTTTACTGTCCTGTGAAAATTCTGTTATTGTCAAAATTCTAGAGGAATTAATTTCACTAAAACACTAATCACATTATTAACAAATTAAATGTCAAACTTTTGACATTAAAATTTGAGCTATAAAACAATTTGGAATTTTATTATTTATGAAAATACATAATTGAATTCTCGCGAAGAACTTCATTAAAATTTTTAAAATCCTAATTAAATTCTTTTGAAGATTTTTTTTGAATTTTTTTTAAATAATGTAGTTTCTTTAATAATTTTAATTGCAAATTTTGAAAGTAATTGAATTTTATGAACTTTCAAATTTTCTTTCAAATTTTTTAAATAATCGTGTTTCTTAATAATTAAATTCTTCCCAGAATTTTATTACAATTTTCTAAAATAATTTAGTCATTCAAGGAATTTTATTAAAATATAGAATATAATTCAATTCGAAGGATTTATTAAATTTTTGGAAAATAATTAGATTCTTTCGAAAAATTTTATTGAATATTAAAAAAATAATTGAATTACACTACCGTCCGTGAGTATCAGGACGCCCCTTTTTTTATAAGTGGAAAAATGCTTAAAACGTAGAAAATAAGAATGACAAAAATTTTTCGTATTTTTTTCCTGAAAGCTAATGAAATTATGAAAAGACTGACACCTGATTGAAGAATTTTCGAATTCTTTCTCGAAAACTAATTAACTTTTTTTAGCGCTCTTGGTCTTGTTTTAATATCTATTTAATGTAGAATCTAAATTATTAACTAGTATTGTGAAATAAATTTTTCCAAAAAAATTAGAAACCGTAAAAGTAGGATTAAAAAATTCAAAAAATTATCATGAATATTAAAGTGTCAAAAAGGTCAATGTAAAATATGTTCATTTAATAGATACTAGACGACAAATTGCGCGCGCCAACAGTGTTTCGAGTTTGACGATGAAAAATTAATTTTCAAAACATAATTAAAAAATCAAATAATTAAACATAATTTATAAAAAATAGACATATTTATATAAAATAAATGATCATATTTTGTTTATTATAAAAAACATTTATTACATGAAGTAATACGAACAAAATCATCAAAAATTAGGCCTAATTTTATTGAAATTTACTCTCTAAATCAGAATCAGTGAAATTCCTACTTAAGATTAGTGAAATTTGACTAAAAATCAGTGACTTTATTCTCGCGATTTGAATCAGTGGAATTAAACTGAAAATCAGTTAAAAATGACGGAAACTGAAGATCAGGAACTAAAACGAAACTAAAATTTCGAAACGGTTCTTGGTATTTATTCAAAAATAAATTTTATTTACTTATAAAATGCATATACATTTATTTTATAATTAATTCAGGGTGTCCTGCAAGTACTAAGAAAAAAATTTCCTGACTTTGATTAAAATTCCCTGACTTCCCTGACCGCTGGACACCCTTATTAATATATATTAATTATTTATATCTACTGCTTTCATTCAAAAGTATTATTTATTTGAATAAAATATATTTAATTATAATGTATAATGTATTTTCTGTTTTGGTTTAAACAAAAAATATGTTTAAAAATATTATGTTTGAAAGCCTATATTAAATTCTGCGTCGACTGATAAGTAAATAAATATTATTTTATATTTTTGAGAGATTTATCTCCTAAGACATTTTGAAAAAAATTGATTAATTTTTCTAATTTCGTGCACCCTAAAAAGAGTAATCTCATAGTTAAAGAAAAAATCCTCTTCTAATATCCTCTAAAGTTTTCTTCTCCAAAGGAAAATATTCCAATTTAATGTATATTATTTTTATTCTTTGGTGGTTAATAATAGAACAAAACAATTTTTTGATGTTCAAATGTCAGAAAAATTGAATTCAAATGAAATAAATAAAGGAATAAATATTTTAATAATTGTAAGTAATTAACTATTAGTTTTTAATTATATTTATTTAATTAAAAACATTTAATTCAGTGCATCAAATTAACTTTCCTTCATAAGTTCATAATCGTAATTAGTAAATAATATGCGAGAGAAAAATCCTCTAAAGTGAAGAGTATTAATTTTTATACCATATATAAGAGGAAAATATGCATTCAGTTTAGAGGATTCGGAATCAAATGAAATTTTAGAAAAACATACTTGGACATTTTTTAGATATTTCAAAAACTGTTGAATAAATTTTAAATTTCAAAGACTTAAATAAAAGCTGAGACTATAATGATTATGTTATATTATAAGAGTTTTTAATTTTGATCCCCATTTTTCTAGACTGTGCAGCCACACAAACATATTACACGAAAATTGAAAAATTAATCAATTTTTTTTTTAAATATCTTAGGTGATAAAATCTCTGAAAAATATAAAATAATATTTATTTACAAATCAGTCGAAGGAATTTAATAGGCTTTCAAACAATCTAAGAACCAAGTTTCTATCATTTTGTAACAATAAACTATGTTAATTTAATTTCAGCAGCAATTTTTCTTAGCTCGCCCGTCGTTCGTACCGACAATTTCTGACTGTAGTGTATATTTTATTTTAAATCAATAATATAATTATTATTAATTTCAAAACGTTATATAATAATAAAATTCTTTTAATAACCAAACACTTTTATTTATTATTAATGTTGTCAGTTTCTTCTGACCTTCTTTTCTCTGTTGGTTTATGTATTTCTTTAATAATTTCTTTTAGAATTAATCTTTTAAAATTTATAGATAATACACACTTCTTAGATGAAGCAGATAAATATACGTTTTATTATCTGCAATGAAAGACATTAGTAAAATTAATTATTTTATTAGTTATTAAAATATGTATAAAATTTTTATATTAAATTTAATCTTTTATAACATTTTCTAACATTTAATTTTAACAATTTTATATTAGAATAAATTAAATATTAATATTATTTACATAAATTGAATACATAAAACTTAATCATTTAAAAATTAATTCAATTAAATTTATTTAACAATTATATTTATCTAAATAATTTCTTATCAATAATAATTTATTAATTTATAATTTATTTAATTGGATTAAATCACTTTATTACGTCAATAATATATCTGAAGGAATCGCGTTAATTAAGATAACGATTTTCACGAACGTATTTCCGAAATAGACTGAGACTTTCTTTTTTTAAGTACTTGAAAGACGAAGATGATGAAAAAGATTTGGATAAAGGGAATATAGCCCTCTTACAAACACTACTTTTATTTTAATGTGTAAGTATATGTTCGTATAGTGAATGAACCTCTCTATTTCAAGTGTTTAAAAGACAAAGATAGAAAATATGAATTCAGCCAATTGAGTATAGCTCACGAGTGATAGCAACCAATGGGATAGGCGTTACTATACTTCGAGATATTTCGAGAGATTTTCGTTTAGAGATTTCTTATATAAAATAGGATACTAAAATTCAAAAATGCTTTTTAATTACTTAATTATTTAATTTAAAAAAAAATTTTTTGTTGAAAAAGTGTCAATCTGTTTTTCAAAATTTTTTTATCCGACTTTCACAGTTTCAAATTTTTTTGGAAAAATTTATATCACAATACATTAATTAATTTAGATTCTACATTGAACAGAGATTGAAACAAGACCAAGAGCGCTAAAAAAAGTTAATTAGTTTTCGAGAAAGAATTCGAAAATTCTTCAATCAGGTGTCAGTCTTTTCATAATTTCATTAGCTTTCAGGAAAAAAATACGAAAAATTTTTGTCATTCTTATTTTCTACGTTTTAAGCATTTTTCCACTCAAGAAAAAAGGGGCGTCCTGATACTCACGAACGGTAGTGTATTTTGAAGGATTTATTAAAATTTTATAAAATAATTGAATTTTTGAAAAAAAATTTACTATTTATCAAAATAATTTAATTGCTTTGAAGGATTTATTAAAATTTTAGAAAATAATTGAATTCTTTCGTCAAATTTAATTAAAATTTTGTTGAAAACAATTGAATTTTTGCAAAGAATTTTATTTTTTATAAAAATAATTGAATTCTTGCGAAGAATTATATTAAAACGTTTGAAAATATAAACAATAATAATTAATTATGTACTTAATAAGTGAATTTTTTAAATGTTGATTATGAAATTATTCAAAAATCTATGTTTGAAAATGAAAAAATTTTGTAATTTGCATAATAATAATAAATGGAATATCACGTTTAACGCGCGTAACATTTCATAGTAGGTATATAATATAATTGAAAAATATTGTTTAACAAACCTGGTTCATTGTCAAGTGGAATATAATAAAGAGCTTGAAATCCCCATGAAATTGCTACTCCGCAAATTTTTTTATCTTTGTAAATAAATTTCTCATGTTTCATCTTTTTTTCATTTTCCTTATTTTCAACGCCAAGAATTCTCGCGCCAATAATAACCTTATCTTCAACTATTGTTTCACAATGAATTGACAATGCAATGTCCGTTCGTTTCATTAATTTTTGTTTCAAAAGTGTTAATTTTTTTTTACTCGATATAATATTAGCGGGTTTCCATTTTTCACGATTATTTCGACTGTTGGATAATTTGGGGATTTTTTTCTCTACTGATTTTTCTATTGTACTTTCATCATCATCATCATCATCATCATCGTCATCAGAAAATACGATACTATCATCATAACTCGAAGCACTTGTTAAATTTGATCGAATTAATTTTTCAACGGATGTTTTACGTGTTTTTTTCATTTCAATTTTACTTGGTCCTGCTTTTGAAAAATCTGTTTTTGCCAAATTTCTCGGCTCAATTTTCTCAGAATTTGTATTATTAATTAGTGTTCGTAAGGAGGCTTTAATCTTTTTTTGAAATACGAACATATCTTCGGAATCTGAATCACTTGTTACGATGGAAGTACGACGTTTGGCGAATGTTTCAATACTCGCAATTGGAGAACCTTCGGCGACGGAAAATTTTCTGCTTTGAATTTCAATCGGAGAACCTTCCGCTACGGAAAATTTTCTCTTTCCGATTGTACTTTTCCCTCCTTTTCTTACATCTTTCGTCACAATTTTTTTTTTCGTCAATATTTCATTTTTTGTACCATTTTCATTTTTTCTCTTCTCACCACAAATTGCTCTTTTCATTTGAACACCGTCCCAAGAATCTTGATCCCAAAATGATAAACTATCGGGTTTTGTTTTTGCCTCTTGAGAATTTTTCGCAACGACTTTAACTTTCGTTATTTCCAAGTTATTCATATTTATATTTGATTTGATTCTCGATAAATTGGAAATTTCTTTAGTAATTTTTTTCGATGTTTCTTTTTGACTTTGTCTTACACTTTGTTTTATACTCTCGGCTTGATTTTCGGTAATTCGATCAGTTTTTCCTACATTAATCGTTGGCGGTTTGCTTATTAGAAAATCGGATAAATTAATTCCGGACAAAAGTTCTTTTGTTGTTTTTAAAGTTGTATTCAAGGAACATTTAGATAAAATGCTTATATTTAAATCACTGGCGTCTGTTTTTAAGAGTACAGTATCGTCATTTTTGTCTGTTATATCAAAGTCGGAGGCATTTATTCCTGAGAGATAATTTTTATTACTTTCGTTTTCAATTTGATTGTTAATTCTTTGATGATCTTCTAAATGATTTTCTGAATTTGTAAAAATATCCGATTTTGTCCAAGTTTCTAAAACTTTTTCAATTTCTTTCTCTTCTTGTAATTTTTCTTTTGATTTATTTTGAGTGAGTGTCACTTCAAAATCAGAAATTCGAATTCCAGAAATATCGGGTACATTTTCGGTGGTAATTTCCAAATTTTTGGGAATTGAATTACGTTTCTCGGGTGCTGTTAATTCAAAATCGGATACACGAATTTCTGATGATTCGTGAATATTTCCTACGTTTAAATTAACTTTATTTTCTCCTAAAATTGTGTTAAATGCACTTCCCTCGAAGAATGTTGTTTCTAAATCAATAGCTACGAAATTTTCGTTCAATTGGACTTTTTCTTGAATTGAACAAGAATTCAATTTTGGTGAATCGTTTGTTTCTGATGTTTTAGTTTCTTGATTATTTGATTGTGTTGACGGCAATGATTGTTTTCTTGACGAGACATTCGTTGCTTCAAAATCAGAGAGACGTAATGAACCCAAAACATTTTGTTCTAAAGCACTACAATCGTTGACTGAATATTCGCTGTCGAATAAATTTGGACTTTCGAAAGATTCGTGATTAATATTTTCATTTTCTTTCTCTAGTAAAATATTATTGACAATTATCTCTTCTAAAGCGCTTTCCACGTCTTTGTCAATATGTTCGTAAACACTTTTTTGTGAAATTGGCAGAATAGTATTTTCTGATAAAACCAATGGTTCGAGAATAAAGTGACGACTTTCTTCAATATCCTCATTTCTCGGGGATTTTTGTGAAATTTTTGTCCTTTCGATTGTCAATTCTTGTTTATTTCTTGTAATATTTTTATCATTTTTGGAAATATCTATTTTTTTATTGGTAAGATTTGATGAATTTTTAGTGTTTAGTGTCAGTTGATTATCACCATCGATTTTTTCCTGATTTTCACTACTCGATTGGTGTTTTTCTGAATTAGAAATATTGCTTCCTTGCGAAATTTTTATTACGCTCGGGGGCTTCTCCTCCCATTGCACATCACGGACTCCTAATTCATTCTAAAAATAGAGAAGAACAACAAAAATTAATAAATTTCCTTTAAACAAATTCAAATGGTTAAAAGAAAATGATTTAAATCTACGAACTTGAAGAAGAGTTCGAGCTTCTCGAATTAAAAGTAAAGCCGCTTCACGAGTAGTGAGACCATCTTTTCCAGTAATAAATGTTGTTCTCACTTTATTTTGTCTCGCAAGTTCAAATTGTCCTTCTCCATTCTGTTCCCTTTCACTAAAAAAGAAAATTCATTTGTATCCCAAAAAGAATTAATTCAGTATAGAAAAATTGCTTAAGAACAAAACTAACTTTTTGATAATAATAATTTTAGAATTTTTTGTTCGAAAAAATATGAATTAATGTTTAAAATACCTTTCAAACGGAAGAGCTTTGTGCAAAGCTCGTTCGATTTCAAGTTCGCTCGCGACTGCTAATTCAACAACACTAGTTATTCCTTCTTTATAAAGGCTTCTTGCTCGAAGGCCATTTAAACTTGGAAGTCGTAACAAGTCCATTAAATCCCTGCTGACTCCAAATTGTAATCGTGTTTGAAATTGAGCAACTAGTAATTCCATACTATTCCAATTTAATTGCTTACAAAAACTGGTGATCATTCCTGAAAAAAATCAAATTTCAATTTTTAATAACCCTAAAGATTTTTTTTTACAAATTTCAAAAAAATATTTATTAAAACGATTCTATTTTTTGTTTAATTTATTTCCAACTAGAAAATAAAGTGATTTCAAAAAATTAAAGTGTTTAAAATTTACCTGCATAAGTTGAAGACGATTGTTGTAAACTTTGAAGCAATCCGCGACCGCAACCAAATTTTTTACAAACCTTGTGTAGAGGTATTTCTCTCACAAGTTCGTAGAGAGCGAGTGCAGTGTAAAATCTCTTATGAATATTTAGCTATATTTAGAAACAACAAATAAACGAAATATAATATTAAAATATTTCGAACAACAATTGGTAAAAGGATTTTTTTTAAATTAACGAAGAAAATTGACCCAGTAAAATAAGGAAAACAAGAGATAAATAATACAGAAAAGAAAAAAACAGTAGGAAAAAAATTGAAGCATTCAAAATTCGGAAAAGAAACAAAAAAATAAGAGAAGAATTAAGAAAACAAGAGGAAAAAATTAATATGCAAAATTCAGAAAGGAAATTAAGAAAAAATTAAGCAAAGAAACAGAAAAATTAAGAAAAAAAAAGAAAAACTGAAAAGAAGAGAAATTAAGAAACGAAAAAGAAAAAAATAGGATAAATTTTCCTTACACTTTTGCCTGGTGCGACACTTCCTCTGACTGCAGTCAGTAAAAATCGTTCCTCAACACCTACAAGTTTGGCGACTCTTTTCTCTGGTTCGGACAATGTCGACCACATTTCTAAATAATTCATCCAATCAATTTGACCAATTTGCGATCCTGAATTATAAGGCGTCACCAAATAAACAACATGTAATTCCGTGTCTAAAGCGATACACTTTCGTGCCTTTAGTAATTCCTCAAAGAGAAATAATCCCTCCTTGGGAGGAACTGAAGCCGAGAGACATGCTTTTCCAAGTGCAGTTGCACTCCATCTTTTCAAATGCTCCTCTTCACTCTCCTGCAACCTAAATATTCAAACATCAAATGTTTATTTATATCTTAAAAAATAAAATAAACATAATTAGAAATAAAAAAATTTTTATTACATGTTTTATGTTAATACTATTATTTATTATTACAATAACTTTATAATAAAAACTAAATAGTAAATACTAATTAGTAGTTAATATTGTTGATATTTCAAAACCTTTTGAAAATTATTTTTAATTAATCTATATCTTTTAACAATCGTTGAATTCCGGTAATTTGTTCGCAGTATGAAGTTAGTTGGTGTTTGCTTTTTTGTTTCCTACACGGAGAGAAAAATCAAGCGTTTGTAGTAAGACATGGTCTATACTTAAAAAGCACGGCGCTGTTTATACTTGATTTGTAGAAATCTATGCTAAAAGAGTAGGGACCTATACTCTTTTAGTAGAGACCTATACTCTTTTAGCATAGATTTCTACAAATCGAGTATAAACAGCGCCGTGCTTTTTAAGTATAGACCATGTCTTACTACAAACGCTTGATTTTTTTCTCCGTGTAACTTTTTGAATAATTTTGCTTCCTCATGAGGAAGCTTTGCATTGGTGACGATTTTCAATTTTTCAAAAGAAGGTTATATGGACTCATTTTCATCTAGAACATATGTATATTCAATTATGAGCAAATGTCCAGATGTATGTGTGTGTGTGTATGTATGTATGTGTGTGTGTGTGTGTGTGTGTGTGTGTATGTCACAAAAATTGTGTACAAAATTATCTCATACAAATTTTGATGGAATGTCCTGAAATTTTGCAGGTTTTATTGCAGTCATTAATACCTAAAATCTGACACAAGGATTTTCAAAAATATCTACAAAATTTTTTTTTATACAATTTTTTTAAAATTCAGAAAAAATTTTTTTTTGTATTTTTTGAAATAATTTTTTTATTTGTTAATATTTTTATTAATTATTCTCAAAATTACATTCCTGACAAGAAAACGAATCGATTGATGTATACAAAGTATATATTTTATCAAAATTTATAAAATTAATAAATATTTTTCTTTTTTACAAAAAATTCAAATTTTGTATTTTTTTCATAATTAATTTAATATTAATATTAATATTTTGAAATGATTATTCTATCATAAAATAGAAGCAATTGGCAAATGAAAGTGTAAATTTCATCAAATATTTATACAACTTATAAATGATTTATATAATTTTATTTTTAACAAATCTTCTAGACGAACCCTTTTGTACATAGTTTTTCAAAAGTTTGCAAAACCGCAATTTTTATATATTGAGGAAGCTAAATGGTCATAAAATGAACAACTTGTTTCTTTTGAAATGTTTTCAATTTTAAAATTAATGTTACCTAGGTAGGTACTGAAAATCATTGAATTCCTGCAAAGTATTTTTCAAAATTCTTGGCAAGATTTTTATTACAATTTTTTAAAATAATTGAATTGTTTTGAAGAATTTATATCAATATTCTTGAAAAATAATTGTAATAAAACTCTTTGCAAAAAGTCGCAATTTATAAATATTAAAAATCTTCGTAAAAAATTCAATTATTTTTATATAAACAATAAAATTCTTATCAGGATTTCACTTATTTTCAATACAATTTTAATTGATTTCTTCGAAAATTTCAATTATTTTTAAAAATATTGTAAAAATTCTCCGAGAAAATTCAAATATTTAAAAAAATAATTGAATTTTTCACAGGACTTCAATTCTTTAAAAAACTTTTAATAAAATTCAATTCAAGAATTCAATTATTTTCATAAATAACGATATTTTCGCTGGAATTCAATTATTTGAAATACAATTATTTTTTTAAATTTTGCAAAAATTCAATTTATTTAAAAAACTTTTAATAAAATTCTATTCAAGAATTTTTCAAATTTCACTTTTTTGCATTATTACACATCCATTTACGTTTTCTTAAAAGGAAAATTTCATCTGAGGTACTTTTAGCAGAAAAAAGTGTGTTAAAGTTGGTTTTCCTTTGACTTTTAACCTAAGATTGATTGTTTTCTAACCTAATGCTAAATTGTTTTTGAGTTAAAAAAAATGTAATACATTTTAAAATTAAATAAATAAATAAATAAATAAATTGTTTCTCGATAGTAAAATATTTAATTAATAAATTTTTATGATTAAAAGGATTAAATTTTTTTCATGAATTTCGAAAAGGGCTCAACTCTGACAACTATAATATCAATTTTCTCAAACTCACTGTTATTAAGAAAAATTCTTTTATCATTTTCTAATATAAAATATCATATCTAGTTACTACGAAAAAAAGCTGAACTCTTTTAATCAAAGCTGTTTAAAATAAACAGTTTTTTGTGTCTCCTGTAAAATTTCAAAAAACCGAGTTGAGCCCTTAATTTCGAAATTCACGATTCAATTATTTTCATAAATAATGAAATTTTCGATGTACTGAAAATCTTTGAATTCTTGTAAAATATTTATAAAAAAATTTGAATATAATTGAATCCATTTCAAGAATTTTATCAACTTTTACTGAAAATTTTGAAAGAAATAGAAGTTTATGAAGATTTTCTATTAAGTTTTAAAAATAATCGTGTTTATTATTATTTGTAATTAATAATTTTCCTATTAAACTATATTAAAATTATTCATAGAAAATTAAATTCTTTTAAACAATTTTATTAGAATTTTTGTAAATAATTACATTTTTTTAAGAATTTGATTAAATTTCATAAAAATAATGTAATTTTTATAAATAATTTTAATTGAAAATTTTGAAAATAATTGAAATTTACAAAGAATTTTTTTGAAAGCTTTTGAGAACAGTTGAATAGTTTAGAAAAATTGTATTACAATTTTTAAAAATAAATGAACCTGTTAGAGAAATATTGAAACAATCTTGAATATAATTGAATTTTTTCGTTGAAATTTGATTAAAATTGTTTTGAAAATAATTGAATTTTTCAGAAGAATTTTATTTTTTACAAAAATAATTGAATTTTTGACAAGAATTTTACAATTTATAAAAATAATTGAATTGTTTCGAAAAATTTTATATCAGAATTGTTAAAAATAATTGAATTCTTTGAAGAAATTTTATTAAAAATTTTGAAAATACTGATTTTTTTTAAAAGAATTTCATCCAAATTGTCTAAAATAGTTGAAGAGTTTTAACTCTTGAAAATAATTAAATTTAAATAATATTTTTAAAAATAATTGTATTCTTTCGAGACATTTTATTAAAATTGTATTGAAAATATCTAATTGAATTCCTCCGAAACATTTTATTATTTATGAAAATAATTAAATTCAATTGTAGAATTCTTGCAAAGAATTTTCTTATTTATGGAAATAATTAAATTCTTGAGAAGAATTTTACAATTCATAAAAATAATTAAATTATTTCGAAGAATTTTTTCTGAAATTTTTGAAAATAATTGAATTTTTTGAAGAAATTTAATTAAAAATTTTGAAAATAATGATTTTTTGAAAAATAATTTATCAAAATTGTCGAAAATAATTGAATTTATATTAACTCTAGAAGGAGTACGTGAATTAACTCACCCTCTAAGGAGTAACTGGGGTGTCTAGACACCCCAAACTTCAATCTTGTTTAAAAGGTTTCTATTTAACGTAAAGTCAATTAAAGATAGTAAATTTTATTGGTGTTTTAATCAGGAAAGCAATAGTTTTATTTATTTTTTGTTAAATTAAAAAAATTTTTGAATAATGGCTAAAGTTTGAAAGCGAAAAAATCATTTTTTAAGTTAGAGGCGTATTTTGAATATTGCGTGGGGTGTCCAGACACCCCAGTCACTCCTTCTAGGGTTAAAATTCTTGAAAATAATTGAATTTAATGAATATTTTTAAAAATAATTGTATTCTTTCGAGAAATTTTATTCTTGCTAAAATTTTATTAAAATTTTTGAATAATAATAAACAAGAATATTTATATGTAATTATGTACTTAATAATAAGTGAATTCTTTAAATTTTGAATCTGTAATCATTCAAAAATTGATGTTTATTCTTGAAAGTATAAAATTTTTTTATTTACAAAATAATACGTATCATTTACTAGTATTATTATAATCTTTGCTATATAATTAAGAACATTATAGTAAACTAACAAAATTACGCGTGAAATGCAGTGCTAGATTTAATATTATGTAAATAGCAAAATATTTTATTTTTAAATACATTTTTTAATTATGAAAAAAATATCAAATTTCAGTTATTTATGTTCCTCAAATATTAAAATAATTGAAATTTTAATATTTCAAAATACTTTTCAAATTTTAAATAAAGAATTCAAAAATTTAATCTATTAATTAGTTTCTCAAATATTAAAATAAATAATAAATAATTTATTTCGTAATTGTTTAATTCCAATTATGAATTTATTATTAAATCATAAATAAATAAAATATGGTATGTAATTACGTTGATAATATTTATGAAAAATAATCTCACATTAGAAATTCGTTAATCACTAAAAATTGAACAGCTTCCTTCACTGCATTGGAAATTGAACCCTCGCCTTCCTCTTGTAAATTGATAAAAGTACATTTTATGTAACAATCAAGATCTTCAGGCGTTCGTACAATATCACTAGCAATTGCTTCGAGAAGAGATCGCATTAATGGTCCAGAATCTTCCAGACAAGATTCTATCGGCTTCAGTGAAGCAGTTAATAAAGTTACAGCAACTGCCTTCTCATTTGATTTACAAATAAGAATACTTTCCCCTGTAAAGTAAAATTAAAAATAAAACTATTTTTACTCTAAATTGTATTTTAATTAAAATTAAATTAAACAAAATTTAGGTATTTGTATTATTTTTTATTTTTTCTATTTATTTTTTTTTCTTTTATAGTTATTATTAGCCAATTCAAATAATTAAACATAATAATAATTAATGATTAAAATTTACTAATAACTAATAAATTAATAGATTTCTGTTATTATCTAATTCTCAAAATTAATTTTTTAAATGCACATAGAATAAGACATTAAGGGGAGGTTCTCATTGCGGAGGCCAAAATAAACACAATATATATACATAATAATAATTTGCTATTCCGTGAACAGAAAGTGTCGTCTTTTGTTTTTCTATATAATTAATGTTTTGATTTGATTGACAGATATGTTTTAAAGTGTTGTTTCTATTTTTGTGGTTAAAAATTCGGGGCGCATGACTTCCCCCAAATTCTACTTTATACAATCATAATTGTTATTTAATAGAATTTTAAAATTTATAAACACCAATTACTCTTAAGGTGAGTGGCTATAATTTAATGACAACATTATTACAATTCTTAATATTTTAATTTTGAAATACAATCGTTAAAAATATAATATTTATTTCTCATAATTTTTATGAATTATTTTTATTTATTTGAAATAGTGATGGTTTTATAGGATATTTTTCAAATAACATAAATTTAAATACGCGAAATAATATTTTACATAATTTTAATTTAATGGAAGATATAATTTTTTATAATCTCTATTGCATATAATCAACAATAGATTTTCATTAATTCATAGAATATTCTATGAATTACGTATTCAGTGACATAAAATAAAAACTAAGCAATAATGTTAGCATTAAATTTTAGATATATCTACCTTTTGAGTAAATAATAATTTTTTTTTTTGTTCCCGGTTTAAATAATTCTTTTGGCGAGTTTCTTAAAATTTTTTGAAAATAAGGTTTTTTAATAATTTTAATTGAAAATTTGATTATTTAATTTTTATTAAAATGTTATTGATAATAATTGAATTTCTGCAAAGAATTTTACTATTTATGAAAGTACATAATTGAATACTTCCAAAGAATGTTATTATTTATGAAAGTAATTGAATGTTTGCGTAGAATTTTATTAAAATTTTCGAAAAAATGAATTGTACAGAACAATTTAATTATTTATAAAAATAATTAAAATTTTGATAAGAATTTAAACAAATTTTTAAATATAATTGAATGTCTGCGAAGAATTTTATTACATTTGAAAATAATTGAGTTGTTTTTTAGAATTTTATAGAAATTTATGAAAATAGCTGAATTCTAGTAAAGGATTCTTTTTAAAAATAGTATTCAAAAGAATTTAGTAAATCTAAAGAATTTTGCAACTTACAGAAATAATTAAATTCTTGAGAAAAATTTTTTACTGTTTAATATATACCAATATTAATTAGTAAAAAAGAGAAAACTGAGAGACAATTTAAAATTTTGCGATTGTTGAGTAGTTCAACAATTATTCTATCTAAAGTTCAGAAAGTTTCCATTAAATTCATTATAATTTTTATCGAAAACTCTTAGCACACGGAAAACATTTTTTCAGTCAAAGTTCCTGAACTGTACCTACGGTGGATATGAGAAAAACTTAAGGTCTAATTCTACATTACACTAAAGATGTCCCTGAATTTTTCAAAAATCTGCCGTGAACTTCGAGAATTTGTCCTGCTCTACACAGTAGATTCCTGAAAAGTTCAAGAATTTCTTTAGTGTAATGCAGGATTAGACCTCAACTTTTTCTCATGTTCTTTTCTCACTGTTCAGGTGTTCAGGTACAGTTCGAGAACTTTCCCTGGAAAATTTTTTCCGTACATTTTCAACCTACGGTTTTGTAGGATTTTCAAAAATTTTTCCGTATCCATAGTTCTAAAATATATTCTTCATTTTATTAATCATGAACATTTTCCCGTATGTACTTTTTCTGTGGTAAGACAGGCAGGTAAATTGCTACCGTGATAATCGTCGTCTTTTGTTTTTCTATAATAAGTAATGTTTTGATGATAGATTATTTTGGTTATGAGTATTCCCATTTATGTGTGATAACCACTTGACGCAAAGAAATTTTTTACAAATTAAAGAAAAATGATGAGGACGTGCCTCTATAATTCAACTGATGTTAAAAATGGTAAATACATGTAAATTTTTTCAAGAAATCTCTATCATTTTGTAAATTCTTATAAATTTAATGAAATTGTCAAACTTAATATTGATAAAAAGTCTAAATTCTATATATCGAACAATTTTTTTACAATATTATTCAATTAGTGAACTGAATTTTATTTGACACTTTTGTTTGACAAAAATAAATTGATTAAAGACACTTAAATTTTGAAGTTTAAATATTTAGTATGTTTTTAGGGTTCCGTACACCATAGGTGTACTGACGGAACCCTTATGAAATCACTCGTGTGTCCGTCCCAGCCACGCAAAATGGGCTGTCCCCCCCCCCTTAACTTTTACAAATCTCAACCTGGTGAGTTGAAATTCGGCAGGGATCTTCAGTTTTAAGTGCAGATTACAGGAAAAATATAGCGAACCCGATTGACGGACATATTTGCGAACTAGGAGGGAAAGAAAATCAATTTTTTCGAAAAAATTGCAAAAAATGACCCTGTCCCACCCCTTTAACTTTTACAAATCTTATCCTGTTGAGCTGAAATTCGGTAGGGATCTTCAGTTTTAAGTAAAGATTACAGGAAAAATATAGCGAACCTGATTGGCGGAGTTATTTGCGAAATTGAAGGGCAAGAATTTGAATTTTTCGAAAAAATTACACTGTCCCTACTCTAACTTTTATAAATTTAAACCTGGTGAGTTAAGATTCAGCTTGTATATTCTTTTTCAAGTGCAAATTATAGAAAAAATAAAGAGAATGTGATTGGCGAAGATAAGTACTATAAAAGAAAAAATATAAAGATTTATTAATAAAATAAAATAATAAAAATATTTATTCGAAATTTAAAAAAATATATTACTATTTTTTTAATTATTTTTTTCAAATTTTGTAAGAATTTTTGAAATAATTTTTTTATAAACAATGAGTTTTATTTTGGTGTACGGAACCCTCGATCTTAATGCGAGTGAAACTCGCACTTGTCCGATTTTTTTATGATTCAAATGGTATTTTTTAATTAAATCTTTAGAATTTTTATTTCTTTTGGTAAATGCAGTCTCCTATAAAATGATAATTCAATAAACTTTTAAAAAAATCCCGTATTTTCTACATTTTTTGATACTTTTGCCCTTCCGGTTACGCAGAATCGGGTACTTTGTATTTAATTCAGAAAAATAATACTTATAAATTCTATTAAAAATTTCTTTCCTTTAATTATCAACATTTCAATGTATTTAATATATTTTTCGGATGAAAACTAACAATTATTAGGGTAGGCGAACACTTTTTCTAAAAAAATATTTTCTAATCATTTTTGTCTAAAAAAGGCGATTTCTAATTAAATCTGTTTTTCGAAAAAGTTTTTCTAAAAAGTTATAATTTCTAATGTTTATTTTCCTAAAATTTGTAAAATTCCATAATTTTGATAAAAATTAGAAAATTGTTAAAAAATTAAGATTATAAAATAGAAACTATTTTACATATTTTCTGTTTCTCAATCACAATTCTGTTTACAAAATTATAAGTTTCTTTTTGAAAATGAAGAAAAATTTTTATAAAATTACTATTTCTTATCACAATTTGTTAACAATATTCTGTTCTTCTTTGAAAAAAAGAAATTTGCATCATTTTTACACCAAAATTTCCAAAGTTAATATATTCTATTTAACTAGATTATTTAAAAATTTTGTTAAAAAATTTGGATAATTTCTATTTTTTATTATAATTTTTTAACGAAATCTCAAGTATTTTTTTTAAAGAATTAACAAATTTCAGTAAATTTTATTTTTTAATCATATGTACCTATTGATCGTGATTACAAAAATTTAATATTATTAGAAAAAAGAAAATTTAGAAAATTACCTTTATTAGATAAATAAATTTTTAGAAAATTACCTTTATTTGAAGACATAAAATTTCCTTTATTAGAAAAAAGTTCTTTAGAAATTCACCTTTATTAGCAACAAAATTTTTTAGAAAATATGATTTAGAAAATCTGTACCCCAACCATTATTAGAATCATATAAGAATGAAAATTAAAAGATTTGAAGAAATTATAATTTAAACCTTTTGAGTTTGAATTTTATTACATTTATATGAGCTTAAAAAATGTTTGAGGGATTTCATGAGAAAATTACATGTGTTACGGCCGAACTCCGTAACTTTTTATATTGTTAATACCTTTTTTAATTATATTTAAACTAAAATTACATGCAACAATTACACGCAACATGAGATTTTGTTAAACATCACAAAAACATTTACACAAAATACATAACCCTTTGTAATTTCACAAAAGGGACATTCTTCTTTTTGAATATTTAAATCTAAAGTATTTTAATCGGATAAAAATCTAATTTTATTTAATTAATAGATTTAATGAAATTTAACATTCCTTTGAATTTCACAATTTCGAGGTGAAAAACCTAAGAATATAACAGGGTATTTCTTAATAAATTCCTTTCTTGGACAAACAGTTTGTTGACCTTTGGAGAAATATCTAGAAAATATAAAAGAATAAATTGCCCAATATAAGGAGTGGTGCATCCAAGTCACTGAACTCGGATCACGCCACTGCCTAAATCTGCAAGCTTGCAGAATTGGCTTGGCAACAGTCAAGTGCAATAAACTTAACATACGATTTCCCCACTAAATCGTCTTTCAATAAAATTGATTGACACTGGGAAATCTGGGCAGTTTAAGCCAGGCCGTTGTAGCCGGCAGTTAGCCCGGGCAGTTTGGGCCCGCAGTTTAGTCCAGGTCGTAGTCACCTGTAGTTGTAGCCGGCAGTTTTGGCCAGGCAATTCTAAGTCCGGCAATCGGCCGTGTTCAATTAAATTTTGTAATCCCTGAGCAAGGGATTTCCTTAGAAGTTAACGGGTTTAATAAAAAGTTTGATCAGAAAAGTGAATTTGAATTGAGAATAAAAATATAAAGAAATAAAAAGTAAAGAAAGGTTGAATTTAAAAGTTATATTGAGAATAATAAAAGTGACAAGTGAAAAAGTAAAATAATTAAAAGAAAATATAGAAAATAAAGTCTTTATTTTGTGCAATAAAAGGAATATTAAGGTTCAAGACGAAATATCAATCTAGTGAACCTAGATTGGGTATTTCTTTAGTTTTTCGGAGATACAACGCGAAATTTACGAAGTCAGAACGTGTCATTGGATTAATATTTCAAGGAGATCGAATTACTGAGTAGTGAGTATAAAAGACTTACACCACATAACACACACTACAAGTTCATTCACACATATATAAAGTACTTTCTTTACACACATAAAAATTAGATAACTTGTATTAGGGACTTTTTGGGTAAAATATATAATTCATGGTTTACATCTTAATTTTGCATTTTAATTTAAACATCCTAATTAATTTTCCTATCTTCTCATTTTTCTTAAGAGTAGGGTTCTCAACCTCTTAGTTGAATCAATAACTAAGTAGAGGGGGAATCCACTACCTTTACAATTTCTTTGTCCGAAGGACACGTGAGTTAAAGTTTTAAAAATTAATCTTTTAAAATTAAATTTCTAAATCCTACTTTAACAACATGTATAAAAATTACATTTGAAACTTGAGTTGAGTAGAGGCATGTTTTTCACTTGGTAATTATATTTATTTTAATAACAGAAGCCATTAAAAAAATCGCAAAAGGTTCTAAGACAAGGAAAGTAGTAATATTTATTTTTTTCACGGATTTTCTTAAAACCTCGGTATTTAAACTAAATTATAATTTCCACGCCTTGGAAGTAATTTTTTCGTTTGCTAATTATTTATTTTAATGTTACAAGTCATTAAAAAAATTTGCAAGAGGATCGAAGGCGGGGAAAGCAGTGATTTTGATTTTTTTCAATAATGATTTATTTTATATTCTAGGATTTATGAAAAATCCGTGATAAAAATAAAAGTCACTGTTTTCCCCGCCTTGGATCCCCTTGCAATTTTTTTAAGTGGCTTCTGAGACGTGGAAATGATAATTTAGTTCAAATACCGAGATTTTTTAAAAAATGATAACTATTATAAACATGGAATAATATAAATTAAATTTATTAAACTTTTTCTGTGGAAGGCAGGTAGACAGATTGCTACCGTGATATTTCTTTAAATCATTCACGCTGCATCGCGCGCGTAGGATTTTGCTAGTACATAATAATAATTTGCTATTCCGTGAACAGAAAGTGTCGTCTTTTGTTTTTCTATAGTAATTAATGTTTTGATAGAAAATTTGGTTATGAGTATTCCCATATGTGTGATAACCACTTGAGGCAAAGAAATTTTTTTCAAATAAAAGAAATATTATCAAGACATGCCTTTATTCAATTCAACTGATGTTAAAAATGGTAAATACATGTAATTTTTTCAAGAATTCTCTATTATTTTGTTAATTCTTATAAATTTAATGAAATTCTCAAACTTGGTATTGATAAAAAGTTTAAATTCTAACATCGAACAATTTTTTTTACAATATTATTTAATTAGTGAACTGAATTTTATTTGCCACTTTTGTTTGACAAAAATAAATTGATTAAAGACACTTAAATTTTGAAGTTTAAATATTTAGTATGTTTTTTAGATTAAAATAGTGTTTTTCAATTAAATCTTTAGAATTTTTTATTTCTTTTGGTAAATTCAGTCTCCTATAAAATGATAATTCAATAAACTTAAAAAAAAATTCCGCATTTTTTACATTTTTTGATACTCTTGCCATTCCGGTTACGCAGAATCGGGTACTTTATTTATTTCAGAAAAAATAATACTTATAAATTCTATTAAACATTTCTTTCCTTCAATTATCAACATTTCAATGTATTCAATATATTTTTCGGATGAATACTAACAATTATTAGGGTAGGCGAACACTATTTTAAAAAAAAGTATTTTCTACACCTTTTTGTCTAAAAAGGCGATTTCTAATTAAATCTGTTTTCTGAAAAAAGTTTTTATAAAAAGTTATAATTTCTAATGTTTATTTTCCTAAAATTTCTAAAATTCCATAATTTTGATAAGAATTAGAAAATTGTTTAAAAATAAAGATTAAATTTTCTGTTTCTCAATTACAATTCTGTTTACAAAATTATAAGTTTCTTTTTGAAAATGAAGAAAATTTTTTATAAAATTACTATTTCTTATCACAATTTGTTAACAAAATTCTATTCTTCTTTGAAAAAAATAATTTGCATCATTTTTACATTTAAATTTCCAAAGTTAATATATTTATAAAAAATTTTTTAGATAATTTTAAATATCTTTAGGGAAAAAATCCCTATAATTTGTTAATTACGATTTTTAACTAGATTATTTATAAATTTTGTTAAGTAATTTGCATAATTTCTATTTTTTTATTATAATTTTTTAACGAAATATCAAGTATTTTTTTAAAGAATTAACAAATTTTCGTAAATTTTATTTTTTAATCATAATATGTACTTATTGATCGTGATTACAAAAATAGAATATTGTTAGAAAAAAGAAAAATTTTGAAAATTACATTTACAGGGTGTCTACTATTTTCGTTTAACAAAATTCCCGGTTATTTCCCGGTTTTTCCCGGATATATCCTAATTTTTTCCCGGTTTGTTTCTTATCAAATGTAAATTTAAATTTGATTTTAAACATAAATAAATCATTAAATTTTCTGAAAATAATGATTTTTTCAAGTTTTTAAAAATAATCTTGTCTCTTTCTAATTATAATTGAAAATTGGATTTTTCAATTTTATTAAAATTACATTGATAATAGTTGAACTTCTGCAAAGAATTTTACTATTTATAAAAATAATTGAATCCTTCCAAAGAATGCTATTATTTATGAAAATAATTTAATTTTTGTGAAGAATTTTATTAAATTTTTTGAAAATAATAAGCAGCAATAATTAATTATTTACTTAATATCTAATAAACATTTAATTTGCTCAAGAAATAAATAAATATCATTTATTTGAACATTCAGAAATTTAAAATGATAAAAATTTAAGAGAAGTTCAATAATTATAATTATTAAATAATAATAGAATAGTATAATTTTTAGAAGCAAAAAATTGATTTAAAACTGTAAGAGGGACTTAAAATTTTAAAAATAAAATTATAATTATGGTCACTAACTTCCCTTGATTATTTTCGAAAAATTTAAATAAAATTCTTTAAAAAAATTCAATTATTTTTCAAAAAAAGTAAAAAAATTTCAATGATTTGTTTAGAAAAATTCAATTATCTTGAAACAATAGAATTGAAAAATTACAACAATTTTATTTTTTAGATTTAAAAAAATTTTGCGAAAGTTCAATTTCATTAAACAATTTTAAGTATGTATATTTTTTTAAATTAACTAATAAAAATTTTAATTATTAATCTTCGCAGTAAGAAACATGAATACATTAGAATTTAACTCTTTATAATATTCAATTATTAATCAATTATTAAATTAAAATACTTTGAAAATTCTATTTGTTAAAAAGTTTCTAATGAATTTCTTTAACAAATTTAATTACATATTTTCAGTCGAATTTCACAATATTTCTATTAACTCCATAATTTTTTAAAAATTTATTTACATAATATATTTGAATTGGTAACTGATTTTTTATCATCAAATTAATTATTTTTAACTAACTTAAATTTAGAGAACAGTATAAATATCTATAAAAATTGAAATAAAAATTGATTTTTTAAAAACAAATTAAAATAATAAAACTTTTTTAATTTTTGTGAAAAAATTCCCGGTTCGGTATAAAATTCCCGGCTAATTCCCGGTTTTTCCCGGTCAAATAAAATTCCCGGTTATTTCCCGGTTTTCCCGGAATTCCCGGTTAGTAGACACCCTGATTTATTAGAAAAATAAATTTTTAGAAAATTAGCTTTATTAGAAGACAGAAAATTTTAAAATCACCTTTATTAGAAAAAATTTTTTTAGAAATTCACCTTTATTAGAAAAAAAAATTTTAGAAAATACGATTTCAGGGTTGCTACAGAAGTCTGTTTTTAAATTTCCATGACTTTTCCAGGTTTTCCAGTACCAAATCTGATAAATTTCCAGGTCACCTTTTGAACATTATAAATTAGAGCAATTTTTCTGTATTATAAAAATATTCACGTTAGATTATCTCTATTTGATTATTAAAGCACAGACAGGGTGTCTACTGAAAATATGACTTAAAATTCCAGGACATTCCAGGACAGATTTTTTATTTTTCCAAGACATTATTACATGTGTAATATTATTTCATATTACGATTAACATAATTTAAATTAACCCACTTGAACAAAAATATTAATTTTATTATAAAAAGAGTTAAAAATCAATATTATATAATATAGATATCAGATTCTTTAATCAAACGACAAATTAAAATTATTTTTTGATGGATCAAAAAAATTATTTTTTTAAATTTGAGTAAAATTTTTAAATTATTGAATATTTAAAAGCAAAATATGGAAAATTCAAGGATATTTCAGGACATTTCCAGGAATTCCAAGACATCATTTTTTAAAAGAAAAAATGTAGTAAAAAATATTAAGTGGAATAAAATTCCAGGCATTTCAAATTTCCATGACATTTCCAGGTATTCCAGACCTTTTTTTAAAAAATCCCTGACTTTTCCAGGTATTCCAGACCTTTTTTAAAAAATCCCTGACTTTTCCAGGTTTTCCAGGTTCTGTAGCAACCCTGGATTTAGAAAAACTGTACCCCAACCATTATTAGAAACATAAAAATGAAAATTAAAAGATTTGAAGAAATTATAATTTAAACCTTTTGAGTTTGAATTTTATTACATTTATATGAGCTTAAAAAATGTTTGAGGGATTTCATGAGAAAATTACATGTATAAAAATTACATTTGAAACTTGAGTTGAGTAGAGGCATGTTTTTTCACTTGGTAATTATATTTATTTTAATAACAGAAGCCATTAAAAAATCGCAAAAGGATCCAAGGCAAGAAAAGTAGCAATTTTGATTTTTCGAGGATTTTCTAAAAATCTCGGTATTTAAACTAAATTATAATTTCCACCCCTTGGAAGCAATTTTTTTCGTTTGCTAATTATTTATTTTAATGTTAGAAGTCATTAAAAAATTTTGCAAGAAGATCGAAGGCGGGGAAAGCAGTGATTTTGATTTATTTTATATGTTAGGGTTTCTGAAAAATCCGTGGCAAAAAATAAAAATCACTGCTTTCCCCGCCTTCGATCTTCTTGCAATTTTTTTAAATGGCTTCTGAGGCGTGGAAATGATAATATAGTTGAAATACCGACATTTTTTAAAAAATCATAACTATTGTAAACATGCAAGAATATAAATTGAAATTATTAAATTTTTTCTGAATTCTTTAAATCATTCACGCGCGTAGGACTTTGCTAGTTAATAAATAATTAAGAAATTGAATTTACAAATTAAATAATTAAGATTTTAATTTAAAAAGAAAAATTATGAAAAAAATTAGGTAACAAAAAATCAAACAAAAACAACTTCAAACTTCGAGCAAACATCAGGAATACAATGATTATTAATATATACAGAAGAAGAAGAAGAAGAAGAAGAATATTTTTATTATTGTAAATTTCTCGATATTTTTACCTGCAGTATCTTTTCCCATGCGACCAGCGCGTCCGCTCATCTGCTGATAGGAGAGAGTATCCAATGGTTTTCCATGAAAACAAGGCGATCGAATTATAACTCTTCTCGCTGGCAAATTAACTCCTGTGCTTAATGTTGAAGTTGCCACGAGAACTTTTAAAGAGCCAGTTCTGAAAAAATTTAATTTTTGTAATTATAAGATTTACTTCGTTAGCGATGATATAAAATTCTAAATTTATTACTTACGTTAATTCATTATTAAAAATTTAATTATTATTATTAGTAGCAAATGTTACGCGCACAAAATGCGGTATTTCATTTATTATTATGGAAATTAAAGAAATTTTTATTTTCAAATATTAATTAAAATTTTAGAATAATTTCATACTAAAAATTTAAAAGTATCCAATAATTATTAACTAATTTACTAATAAATTATAATAATTTATTGTTTTCGAAAACTTTAATAAAATTCTTCGCAGAAATTCAATTATATTAAATACAATTTCAATAGAATTTCTCAAAAGAATTTAATTATTTAAAAAAATTTTAATAAAATTTTTCACATAAATTCAATAACTTTGAAAAATTTTGATAAAATTATTTATGATAATTGAAATAAAAATCCTTCGCAGAAATTTAATACAATAAAATTCATCCAAACAATTATTCAATTATTTTTAAAGATAATAAAATTCTACACAGGAATTCAATTATTTTCAATAAAACGTCTCAAGGAAATTCAATTATTTTGAAAAATTTTGTCAAAATTCTTTATAAGAATTCACTTATTTTTAATACATTTTAGAAAGAAAAAGTATCAAAAAAATTAGGAAACAAAAAGTAAACGAGAAGAAAAAGATTATCTTATTATCTGATTCTTTAGATATATTGAGTTGAAAAGATTAAATAGAAATTAGTTATAGAGTAGAAAGTAGTTTAATAGCAATTTAAAAATTTATGGATTGTAGTTGCAATTTGGAAAAGTTTTTTAAAATAAATCGAATACAATGTAAAAACCTAAAACTTCCTTCAATGATGTCACGTTCGTCGATAGTCAGTCCCGCATGGTGAAAAGCAACTCCAAAAGAAACTGTATTTTTTAGAACACTATCCAAACCAGTTGGCGTTCGTTTAAGTTGCTCTAGAGTTTCAAAAATTGCCGTTGCATCTAAAGTTGTTTGCAAAACCTGACCTAAATGTGAATTCGAACGACCTGAAAATAAGACATTAAAGTAGAGATTTGATTTTCATTAGAATGCATCTTCGAATTTCTCAGTTATTTTTGTGTTTTAATAATGATTATTATTGCATGATTAGTCAAATTATTATAATTACTAAAATAACTATTATTTAATTAAATATTTAATTAAAACTTAAAAAATAGCGGACCTATGTTAAAAAATGCCGAAGCCGCCTGCAGAGCTAATTTTTCACACCAATTTTTTGTGGGACAAAATATTAATACACCATGGCCACCTTCGATAGTCTCAATGCAGAGTTGAATAATATTCTCAACATCGTTTCTTATTTCCGGTATCACTGGTAATTCCCTTATTAATTCCAGCTCTCGGTTATAAATTATCGTCTCAATCTATAAAACATAATTATTTTATTAAATAAATAAGTAAATTAATTAATAAGGGACTATAATAATATTAATAAAACTAATAATACTCATAATTTGTAATTTAATCGCCTTTGGTTTTTTAATTACCTTGCATTGCTCATCCAGTGGAATAGGTCGAAAATCTGTTTTATACAATTCCGCATCCAACCAATCAGCCAACATCGATAAATTTGGAAGAGTTGCGGACATTCCTATTAATTGTATCTTGATATCTTCATATCTATAAAAAAAACAAATAAATTAATTCTTGAAGAAATTTCAACTTGAAATGAAATTAATAGAAGAAAAAAAGTATACAGAAAATAAAACAAAATGTACAAAAAACTGTATTTAAATTTAGAAAATAAATAAATCCATGGAGAAAATAGACAAATTTCTTGTAGAAAACAAATTAAATGAAGGCAATAAGGTCAACATTTTAAAACATGAAAATATTTGATTTGGTGTAATTTACATTTAGAGTGAAAAACTCAGAAAAATTAAACAAAACGTAAAAATAGGTATTTTTTTAGAAAACAAATTAAATTATAAATATCAATTTTTCACTTTCTTCAGAAAATAATACATAACTGTTAAAAGTAAAATTATAAATAATAATTCTACATTGTCTTCAGAAAATAATTACTTGAGTGTTATGTATCTGAGTTTCGTGAGTAAAAGTTCTAAAATATATCCACGATTTGGATCCCCTAAGAGATGAAGTTCATCAATAACAACTGCACCAATTGACATCAAATCTTCTTCCTCTAATAAACGATTTATCAATGAATTTGCTTTTTCAATTGTTGCTATTGCAATATTTACAGATTGAAATCCACCAGCGGGAATTACACTTCCCATAAATCCCTCAACTCGAATTCCACTGTCCGAAAGTAAATCCTAAAATAGATTAATAATAATAATTTCTCCTTACAATAATATAAAGCTTTGCTATTTAATATTTCTAATATTCGTATTTGAATATTATCAATAAAATTTTAAAAATTATTACCAGCTTCGAACTCGTTAATTAATTAAAAAAGTGTATCAAAAAAGTAGCTTTAAAACTAAATAGAAATAGTAAAAAATGTAGCTATCGAGAAAATAAAATTTGACGACTAAAAAACTTATTTTAGTTAAATCAATGTACAAAGAAAATAAACAAATGAAATAATACAAAAATAGTAAAAAATAATATAATAATTATATAATCTATATTAATAATCGTTGTATTCCGGCAATCTGTTAGCAGTTTGAAATTAGTTGTTGTTTCCTTTTTTATTTCCTAACTTTTTTTTATAATTTTTCTTTTTAAATATTTTCAATTTTAAAATTAATGTTTCGAAAATCATTGAATTCTTGCAAAGAATTTTATAAAAAAATTTCAGAATAATTTAATTCCTTTGAAGAATTTTATTATTTATGAAAATAATTGAATTCTCGAAAAGAATAAAATAAAAATGAAACTGAAGTTACCAACGTTTGTTCGACGAAAAATATAATACGTGACAATTTCCCCGCCTCAGATCCAACTTTTTTTTCCACATTTATTATAGATATACTAATATTAGAAGCCATTAGAAATTATTTTCAAGTGGAACCAGGTAGAGGAGAGCAACCATTTTATTTTTGTCACGGATTTTTCGAAAAATCCACGACAAAAAATCAAAATCATTGCCCTTCCCTTTCTGGTTCCAGTTGAAAATAATTTCTTATGATTCCTGACATTAGTATTTTTAATAAATGTGTAAAAAAATTGGATCTGAGGCGGGGAAATAGAAATTGTTTCGAAATTTCTGAATTTTCGAAAAATCCGTGAAAAAAAAGTCAAAATCGTTGCCCTCCCCGACCTGGTTCCACTTGAAAATAATTTCTAATGGCTTCTAACATTAGTATTTATAATAAAAGTGGAAAAAAAATTGGATCTGAGGCGGGGAAATAGAAATTGTTACGTATTATATTTTTCGTCGAACAAACGTTGGTAACTTCAGTTTCATAAATAAAAGGAGGAATTATTTATCAAAAAAAGGTGCTAAGAAATGTCAGATAAAAGAAATTAACTTGTAAATTAATTAATGTACTGCAATTTTAACCAATTGTTGCCTTTTACTAATACTTAAAGCTTCAGTATATTTTGAAATTTGAGTCGACTAAAATTTGATTAGATTAGATTAATTTGGATTGATAAAGTTAAATTTAATAACAAAATTTTGATACATGAATAAAAGTAAATTTATTATGTGAAACTGAATAGTTATTTTCTGAATTTATAATTATTTTGAAGAAAGTAAATATTAATTTTTTTGATTTCAACTGTTAACGGGTTTATAGTAGAAATTCTCAAAAAAAAGAGAAAAGTATCTTTTAGAAGCACAAAACTAAAAAAAGTATTTAAATAGTAGCAAATCGAAAAAAAGTAAAATAGTAGGTTTTAGTAGATGAGTTCGAAGCCTGTTAAAATATAAATGAAATAAATAAATTTTAATAAATATACCAACTTGAAAGTAAAACATTTTCTCGCGAACAACCGAAACAAAGGGCAAAATAAAAATTGCCTTCTTCTTTCGTTCCAATACTGTTTTCAAAAGTAAAATCTCAGCAACTAAAGTTTTTCCAGCCGATGTTGGAGCTGAATAAACAAGATTTCTATTTTCTCTTACAATTCGTTCATTCGACAGACATTCAACTTGCCAGGGAAACATTGACTTAATTCCTCTTGATTCGTATTTCTGAAAAATTTTAAAGTGAATAAATAAAAAGACATTAAAAATTACTTAATATTAAAAATTCAAAAACCAATTTATTGAATTTATGATAATAATAATAATCTTACCTTGAGGATTTGTCGAGGTAAACCCCAATTGGAAAGTTTCAATTGATCTGAAAAACCCTGTGAATCAATTGTCGTACAATTGGAAGCTTCTTGAGTGGAGGCAAAATATATATTAGTATTAAAATCATTATTACTAGTTGAACTTTCATTTCCAAGTGGCGAAATCAATTCATTTTCTTCCTCCAAAATATTTCTCTCTTGAAGATTTAAATTTAATTTCACAGCTCTTTTTGATTCATTTCTTTTCCTCCTCACAGTTCTCTTAAAGAGAAGTGATTCTTCTTTGGTATTTTCTTTTGAAATTTTATTCACAATATTCTCTTTATCACGATGAAAAGTATTTTTTATTTTCGACGTTGAGATTTTTAAATTCTTCGAATTTTGCATTTTGGATTTTTTTCCTTTACTTTTGTTTAAGAAGAATAATAATAATTTGGTATTTGATGAAATATACTTGCGTTAAAATTTCTTATTATTTGTAATTGAGTAATAATTGACTTGTATGTATGTATAAATATTGCACATTTTCAAAGAGATTTTTATGTTTATAATATTAAAAAAAAATCGCAGGTTTATGTACAATAGAAATTTTTCACTGGAGATGAAATAAATGTTGATTAGTTATGTCAAATATAATAGTTTTGTTAATAACCTTATTAATAATAAATGAAAACTTGTGAAAGACTCGAGAGAGCCATTGTTTACAACGTTTACAACTGAGGTTTACACATGTCAACAACTAAAGTTTCAAACGGTTCTTTAATTTTTAAAATCCAAAATGGCGGACATTTATTTCCAGACATGCGCAATGAGAACAAAAAAAATTTTTTCTTAAGTATTATTAACAATTATATTCAGTCATTACATATTTTATTAAATAATATAAACAGTCTCTTCGTACATTAACAAACTATTTGGTAAAAATAATTATAGAACTAATTTTTTTTCAATAAATTTCTTTTTTTATTTGAATTTCGCGGCTGTTAATCAGGAAGAAACGGAAGGAAATTTCGGAAATTTCTTATATGTTCTCCCACGTGACAACCTAACCTCACTTTTGCGGTATTTACTTGTCGTATTTTTGACTGTTGTGTTTGTTAACTCGGTTAACTCTTAATTTTGAAAGATTGTTAATTTATATTTTTAACATTTTTAATAAATAATGAGTAATTTAAATGTGGCTGAAGATGAAGATGAGTTAAGTTTATGTCCTTCGACATTAGCAGCTCTACAAGAATTTTATTCTGAAAGAGAAGAGAGAGAAAGATTACAAAATAATTCAACAAGCAACGAAGTATTTGATGAAAATTGGGTAGGTTTTAAATTTGAATATTTTCATTATTATTTACAAAGTGAAAATATAGGATTTCGATAAAATCCAAATAGAAAAAGTTTTTGTTTTCAAAAATCAAAGAGTATAGAATCAAAACAAAAATTTCGGCTTAAATTCATAAAACATTGAAATTTAATAGCTTTCTGAATATTTAGAAACATTTAGTTTATTAATTGAAAATGAAACATTAAAGACTAAAATTCTAATTTATTCATTAAATACATAAATATAAATGCAATTTTATAAAGAAAATATATTATTCTACGTGTAAAAATTGTTTTATGCCTCTAATCCTCATTAAAAAATGAATTTTAAAATTTCATTTTTTTGAGAAAATTATAAGAACATACCTATTTTAATTTTATTACAGCAATTAAGTCAATTTTGGTATGACGACGAAACTGTCGATAAACTAACGAAAGGAGCAATAGATTCTACAGAAAGTAATGGAAAAATTGCTTTGATTTCGTGTCCAACTTTGTATAAAAGTATTAAAAAAATATGTGGCAATAGAGAAGGTGAGTTTTTGTTTAATATTATTAGAATTAATATTCGATGGATAATTTTATTAATATATAAAATTCAACAATTAAAATAATTAATATACACTCAAATCTCGCTATAACGACCTTCTCTATAACGAGCTTCTCTATAAAATTTCCTCCCGATTACCCCCACTATTTATAAACAAACAATTTTTACGTAAATTGTAAACACAAAAAAAATGAATAAAGAATCTTAAAAGTGGGGATATTTCATTTCTCCTCTTGCGCTCGTAATAGAGGGAGACTTGACTCCCGAACTTCTCGTTATAGCAATTCAATTATTTTTAATACAACTTTAATAACATTTCTAGAAAGAATACAATTATTTTTAAAAATATTAATTAAATTCGATTATTTTCAAAAATTTTAATAAAATTCAATTATTTTCAACAATTTTGATAAAATTCTCTTAAAAAAATCATTATTTTTAAAAATATTAAGAAAATTCCTTTAAAAAATTAAATTATTTTCATAAATTCAGATAAAATTCTTCGAAACAATTAAATTATTTTTATAAATTGTAAAATCCTCCGCAAGAATTCAATTACACTGAGAGAAGACCGAGACGTAATAGTTCCCGCTAGACGTCGCTATGAGCTACTCTGCTTGTCGTGTTTGAGTTGTTCCGAATCGGGTGCTGAGACTCCCCGATCCAGTCAAACATTGTTCTCGCATGTGAGAAAACAACTGGTGGCAAACACTGAAAGTTCTGTGTAATCTCGCTTCAGGACGTTCCACGTTTCGCATCGGGGCTTGAGACATCCCGATTCGAGGGTTCACATAAAAACATTCAAAAGTACAACTCAAGGCTCGCACGGGACGTATTAGTTCCCGGACTTCTCTCAGTGTAGGGTCAGTTGGGGTAAATCTGGACAAAATACCTATTTTTCACAAATGACGTAAGTTTCTTATTATAAAAGGCAATACTTCCGGTTTTATATTGCATTCATTTCTTCCTTGTGTTTCCTAGATTAATTTTATCAACTTTTTTTGCATTAAACGACAACTTTAATTATCCTGTTGCCAATTGTCAAGATAAAAACTTGGCAATACTCAGAATCTCTTGTAGGTGATGTAAACTTGAAATATTGATGTCGAACTTAATTTTTAATTTGTAAATTAAGCTCTAAACCCTCTTGTCCGCATTTACTCCCTGTCCGGATTTACCCCAACTGACCCTATTTTCATAAATTAAATAAGAAAATTCTTCAAAGGAATTAAATTATTTTCATAAATAATAAAATATTTCGGAGGAATTAAATTATTTTCAATACAATTTTAATAATAATAAAACTGAAAACACTTTGGCCGAAGTCAATTCGATCAAAACTGTTTAAGTCAGACTGTCCACCGATTTGAAAACGTCATTTCGAGAAAAACGCATTTAAACTATATTGTAATGTGAAAACATGAAAAATTAAACCACTGTTAATCTACGATGCCTGCACCATATAAGATTTCTCTAACAGGTACAATTATTTTTAAAAATTGTAATAAAATTTTTCTAAACAATTCAATTGTTCTCAAAAATTTTTAATAACATTCTTTGTAAATTTCAATTATTATCAAAATTTTCAATTAAAATTATTTAAAAAAATTACATTAATTCTACGAAATTTAATGAACATCTTAAAAAGAAAATGTAATTATTTACAAAAACTCTATAATAAAATTAATTAAAAAAATTTAATTTTCTATGAATAATTTAGTATATTTTAATTGGAAAATTACCAATTACAATTAATAGTAAATACGATTATTTAAAAAACTTAAAAGAAAATCTTTATAAGATTCAATTACTTTTAAAATTTTCAGTAAAAATTATTAAAAAAAACTCCATTATTTTCAGGAGAATTGAAACAAATTCTTCAAGACAATTTAATTATTTTCAAGAATTTTAATAAAAATCTTGCCAAGGATTAAATTATTTTCAATACAATTTTAATTACATTTTCTTGAAAGAATTCAATTATTTGAAAAAATGTTGATAACATTTTTTAAATGAATTCAATTATATTCAAATTTTTTTATAAATATTTTACTTATTATTTCTGCAAAAAATTGAATTTTTGCAAAATTTTAAATAATAATTGAATTTTTGAGAAGAATTTGATAAAAATTGTAGGGTAAATGCGCTAGTAGTCGCCCGAGTCGAACTTTTAGACCTGCTTACCTCCTTAAAACTGAGGGTTTGTAAGGATGTAATAGGATGAAAGCAGAGTTTATTTGCATTGCAAGTTAACTCTGATTACCTCCTGCAAACCCCTGGTTAGCGACAAATTTAGATGGTAAAAGGGGGAAAGCAGGTGTTCCTAGAACCTTATTAAATACTGCTTGACCCTTACTTACAGAATTCTTTCCTCTCCAAAAACCCTGGAAAAACTGCTCATAGCATATTTGAGATCATTTTTAACTAATTTTTATAATAACTTTAATTATTAATAAATGGCATTATTATTTAATGATTTTTACTTTTTTTTTAATTTAATCGTGACCAATAGCGAATTCATAAATAATGTTAGTATATATGTGGGGATTAATACATATCCATTTATATATAAAAAAAAATTTTAATTTAATATTTGGTAATTAAATTATTTAACGGTGTATATAATCATTAAATTGCATACTTATAACTATACAATACAGAAAAATCGGAATAAACGCAAACCTACGAAATAAACAAAATCTAACGCACGCGAGACTTGAACCTACGACCTACGAACTACGGACTACGAAACTAACGCCCTAACCACTATGCTACGGAACCTAACTGAACACAGACGCTCTATTTCCAGTGACTTGTTGAGTGATTTAATTAAGCATTAATTGACACTAATACACTACAGCAAATAAATAAATTGTTTAGTAATAATAACCTTTAAACATTTATAAATTAATATTTTTATTATTTAAAAAAAATGTCAAAACATTTCAGTTAAAAATAATATTTATAAATTAATAATAAAAAAGTACATGTTTCGGTAACCTATTCGCAGTTTGAAGTTAATTGTTGTTTACATTTTGGTTTCTTAATCTTTTTTTAATTTTTCTTTTAAAATATTTTCAATTTTAAAATTAATGTATTGAAAATCTTCGAATTGTTGCAAAGAATTTTATCAAAAAATTTGATAATAATAGAATATTCCTTCAAAGAATTTCTTTATTTAGAAAAATAACTAAATTCTCGCAAAGAATTTTATTAATATTTTTAAAAATCCTAATTAAATTTTTTTGAAAAATTTCTTTGAATTTTTTTTTTAAACTAATGGAGTTTTTTTAATAATTTTAATTGAAAACTTCGAAAGCAATTGAATTTTATGAAGAAGAATTTTATTAACATTGTACCTATTCAAAATAAGTGATTTCTTGCGAAGAATTTATTAAAATTTTAAGAAATAATTAAATTGTTTATGAAGAATTTTATAGAAATATTTAAAAATCATGAAATTTTTTCGAAAAATTCAGTTAAAGTTGTTTCGAAAATAATTGAATTTCTTTAAAGAATTTTATTAAAATTAACTATATTCAAAATAATTGAATTCATCATAAGAATTTTAATTACTTTTCGAAAGTAATAGAATTATTTCAATTCTTTTGACGAATATATTCAAAAATTGTATTGAGCTAGTAATTTAATTCTTATATAGAATTTTTTAAAAATATTTTGAGAATAATTAAATTGTTTTTCAAGAATTTTAAATTCTTGTTGAAACTAAATTTTATGGGAATTTTTGAAAATAATTAAATTCTTTCGTTTAATTTTATTTTAATTGGGTTAATAATTATTTAATTCTTGCAAAGAGTTTTAGTATTTATAAAAATAGTTGAATTATTTCGAAGAATTTATTAAAGTTTAATAAAATAA